TCAGAAAGTTAATAGAAAATTGAGACCATAATAGACTGGTAGGTTCCGTTGAGTAAGTCAACCAGGTATCAACAGGAGATTAGACAAAAAACGTACAAGTAAAACGTACGGACGACCGTCGGTAGTCGGTATGTTGATTTTAATTTGCGTCCTGTCCAAACTCTGTTAGTTTTACATTTACCTTCCAGGGCCCAGACAGACGACTGATATATTAGTAATGGATAGATACGTCCTGTGTATGTGTGTTTGTGTTGGTACGGTACTTTTAGATCCGGTACGAATACGATGTGTAATGACTTTTGAAGTCGATGGTTGGTATGCATTTGGGTTGATTTCTGACGTATTTACTTATAAGTACTTAAAAATATGCTCGAATATCGAATAAAGTACTTACTTTCGAAAATAAATAATAATATTGTGTTGATTTGAAAAATTATGAGACGTCACAACACGCTTTATTTTATTTTATACTGAGCTTTTTTATTCTAAATGGAAAATCATCAAATAAGTTCTCTTTTTTGTCAGGGGAAAATCATCGAACGACTTTTCCCGCCCCGGCCAGGGTCAGACTCTAACTGACTAAAAACCCTCTTCCTTCTCCTGCTTTAGGCCGAGGCCGCGGTATATGATGGAGCTAGCCCCGCAACTCCGGCTGAACATCGGCCCTTTATGGTCCCGTCTGTGGTGGTCTATTCCTTGACGTAGCAATATCAATAACTATGCCTATTACATTTTTTTTTTTTGAGATTACCTAGTACTTTTTTCCTTTTCATTTGTTTTACAGATCGCCGCGCGGTCTCCGTCACTCGTGTGTCTTACGGTGGCTGGGACGCGTGAAGGATAATTTCAAGGTTCAAGAATGGCTGCTTGGCAGAAGAAGGAGACGATTTCCTAGTTCCTCTTACTCCAACCCGTAGCCGTGACTAAAGCTATCCTCAGCGTTTCATCCTGCTGGCTCTGACATTGATACCTCCCGAAACCTTCGTGTCTGGGTAAGACACACAAGGATTTACTCCTGTGCTGTGAGTGCGTTTACAAACATACAAATTCACAAACACAAGCCACCCAGACCCGAAACAACAATTTGTGGATCACACAAAGTTTTTTCCGTGCGGGATTTGAACCCGTCACGTTTTCCAAATGTGAAATATCACCCTAAAGTGCCATGTCATTTTGCTTAGATATTTATTATTATTCGATTTGTAAATGTATAGTACATTATTGCGTATTTTTCTTATCAATGAAATAATTTAATTAGAAAATTATTCCATTATCAATAAAGTAGTAGATGTTTACATTAAATAAGATATAATACTAGCTTTGCATCTGACTCTGTTCACATACAATTTTACTTATTTATACATATGTAGGTATATAAAATTGAGTTTATAATATGTAAAGCAAATATATAACAGCTGAATATGATGTCATTCTAGCCATGTCAATGAACTTTTACAAAAGAACTAATTTCATTTTTTATGTTTTTTACGGTTTTAACATAATAGGGAGTAGAGATGGTATATGCGTTTGGGAGATGAAGGTAGAAAAGAATGACGTCAAACAAGCAGACCAGATTACCTGATGGTAAGCAATCGGCACTGCCTATGGATACCCGCAACACCAGAGGAATTACGAGTGCGTTGGCGGCCTTTTTGATTATATTTTCGGGTAAGGGTTTCACACATAGAAATATAGCGCTGTGGTTGTTGCACGCTGTTTCTCTGTGTAGCTTTGGTATCACTCTGGTTGATCTTACTTATTCGCTTCGAATCATTGCTCTTCCACACTTAGCAACACAATACACACATTACAAAATAAGTGTAACTAAACTATAAGTAAGTATTATAATTCAGTTGTACATTGTATGTAGTATATAAATATTTTCCTAACTGCGCCAACGCGTCGTATTAAAATTTTTAATCGTAAGTAATCATTTCGTCTAAATAGTGATTAATTTTATATATTGATTTATCTGTATCTGTTTAATGTCCCTACATAGAAAAAATCTGTTACGATAATGAAGACCTTATCATCTAATTCTAGTTAAAAGGTTACGATCATGATTGCCGTATGTAGTAGTGTATGATTACTTCGTTATATAATGGACAAGGTCATAATTCATATTATTGTGATTATGTTATATGTTTAATTCCGTCCGATCCATTTACAACGCAAAGAAGTTTTAGAAGATTCCAATTTAAAAAAGTCTTTTATATTAATGACGTATCCCTAGCCTTTATTCGTAACTAATCCCTCCAATTCATACCTAATTATTAGTCCCTAAGAGGGACATATTCAAAGATACAATTCTGGTGCTTAAAGAAAACAACTTTTTTCATAAGACCAACATGGAAATCTCGTGACTACTACTTTGCAAAGGCCTTTTCTCATACGAAGAAGGTTTGAATATCAATCGTCACACTTACTCAAGGTGGATTGGCGATTTAAACTACTTACTTAGTAGAAAATATAAGTTCAGTTTTCCTTCATCGTTTATCAGTGGGATCCAAATATACTGAAATCCCTCTCATACATGCCTCTGGCACAAAATTGTCTTGAACTTTAAACAGAAACGTCAAGCCTACCAAGGTATTCAAATTATAATTTTCCGCGTTAATACCTGCGTAAATATTATGTTGTTGAACTTTAAAGTTAAGAACGATTTGAAAGTAGTTAAATATGTAACTTTTCTTTTTTAAATAGTTAACTTATGTCGTTTACATACAGAAATATTTATTGTATAATCATCCAAAAATATTATTAAAAAAATATATAAAAATATTTATAAATTATTTATTATAGCCTTAAATTAAACATTCATCAACATCATCACATCATCACAATCAAACACTTATCAAACAATCGACTTAAAAAAAAAAACTCAAAAACCATACCAATTTAAAATTTTATTAAAAAAACTGCGTGTCTTAAAACGAAAGAACGAAATCAAAAGCAGAAACAGATATACAGCCAGAAAAAAAAAAAACAAAAAGTGCGTAAATGACAGTCTGAGTACACATGCGACGGGTTGCAATCTCAGACTGTCGCATTCGAAATTCATAAGTTGGCGAGAGCACTTGCCCATAGTCGGCTCTCTCGCGATGCTGGACAAAAGACTCGCCCCAACCTGGGCCTTGTTCAAACACCAATGTTTCGTTCAAATATTTGTCTAATTATGAACTGTATGGCGTTACAGACGGTGTAGCCATGTTTAAGACGTTTTCACGTTGGAACTGCGGCTTGGTCTTTTTGTTCTGCTCCTAAAAGAAATGGTATTTCAACCAATGTCCCTTACAAAGTTATTGCTGTAAATTTCGTCAAACTTTCGCTTCGCCCAGTCTGTGTTCTCCTCCCCCAATCGCCAAATCCCCAAAAGACTGGTAGTGCATTTGTAACTTATCTAGTGTTGTGGGTGTGTAATTCATCTGTTTAATACGAAACAATAAGTTTTCTCATCGAATAACCTATAATGCCTGACACATGGAGACGGCTGCGGCTTGACGGTTTATTTTGTGAGGGGAAAATCATCAAATGACTTCTCTCGCCCAGGGCCGAGCGGGAGGGAGTATGTCAGATCTTACTGACTAAAAGCTCCCTTGTTCCTTCTCCTGCTCTGGGCCAAGGTCGCGATGCCTCAATGCGCTTACCCTGCAATCCCGGCTGAACATCAACCCTATAGGGCCCCGTCTGGCTTGACGGGTGGTTCCGCTGCTGCAATGTACTGACCACGGACCGCCTGACATACCTAGGTCTCTGTAATGAAGGCCCAAGAGCTTCAAAACCATATAACGTTGCAATATTATTGCAAGAAAACAATAATTACGTTGTTGCCAATGCGATCCAAGGATAAAATTGGTCACCGGGAAGGTTCTTGAGGGCAGTATTCTTAAAATTACTTCTCCGCTATTATTCTTTGTATATGTAAGTATTTATGACATACTTAGTACTATTTAAAAAGGTTAAGAATTGAATAACTTACACAGTAGGTAAAACTGTTTTTATTACAACATCTTTTTCTTCGTCTAATTGTGGAAGGCTACAAAAAAGGGTATACAATTTATAATATAACATTTTACCGGTTCAAAAAGATATTTTTTGCGAAATCCGCTGTTTAAAATTATATTTTAAACAGCAATCATGTGTTTTTACTTCAACGGAGATGACACAATAATTCAGTTTTTTTCCTAACTATGCATAATTATTGACAACGTGATTGGCACTACTTGACATGGGTATAATTATTATAATTGACTTCCATGTCACGATCTTATTAAATCTTCGTAAGTAGGCAAATTGCATTAGCAAAGAAACAAACTTGTTTCATACGAATGCCTTACTCACTGACCAAAATTTGACGAATTTTGATGGATAGATCGGCTCACTATGAAAAGTGCAAAACTGCGCTGTTTACGCGTGAGGGAGTGTCAGACTCATACCTGACTAAAAAAACACCGCGTTCCTTCTCCTGCTCCAAGCCGAGGCCGTGGTGCCTTATTACCCTTACTTCAGAACCCCAGATGAACATTAACCCTGTTGGGCCCCATCTGTGATGGTGGCTCTTTGATGCTAAAATTTAGATCAAGTACGTAGACTAAAAAAGGGGAAGCCTTTGTTCAACCGTAAACACCTTCCGATAAAATGATGAAAAAAAATAAAATGAAACTAAATAACAATATATATATTTATTATAGATGACGTAAACAAAAATAACATCTCAACTAAGTCTTCTCTCTCTCTTTCTCTATCTCTCTCTCTTTCACACGCACACACATTAATAAAACACACCTAACAAAATATTTACAGATCTGTAAAGTTTCAATACAAACTACATATTTACATGTTTGATATTTCAATGAAATATTAATTACTTACCTAATTAATTATTAGTTGACCGATACCTCTTCAAAGATAATAAGATTTAGGATATATTACATTTACCTCAATTAAATTTTAGTTAAATTATATAACTTTAACTCTTTTTAGGAGCTTCACAAATTATAAATAAATTTACAAGAAGAAACCCAATAAAACCAACAGCAGAATATAAAAATATAAGCCACGTTTTTATTTAATTTTATCGAATATTTAAACACTATTTAAATATAACGAATTTAAATTTAGAAGTATTAGGTCGCTACCTCAGCGCTCAATATTAAATGTACTGATTCATGACGTCACAAACGATATTTTAAATCAGTTTATCGTTGCAAGTAGTTGAGAGTCATCAGAAAATAATATATTCAAATTAATATTTCTTCTGCTTTTTCATTGGTTTCGATTCCATTAAACTTAAGATAAGCTTTACTAACTTCAATAACACATATACAGAAACGAGTACTAAACTCAAAACAAAGGCGTATACATCTATCATGGTGTACGCAAACCAACTTAATTCTAAAGCAGGATTCTTCATGTAATGCGCTCCCTTATTCCTTATAACATATTCAATCCAAAACATTGCTGTTTCCAGAGCATCCATTGGTCTATCCTTAAATCTTGCTGACAATTCTTTAGCATTTATCCTATAAGAATCATTTGTGAGCACTTCGTGGAGCACCTCCGATAAAGTCTCCTCATTGATGTCATGGTATTCCAAAATTTTTCCAAAGCCATAAGACTGGGCTTGCAACAGATTGTTATACTGATCCGCGTAAATTGGAACCCCTATGATTGGAACTCCGTTGTATATAGCCTCCTGCGTTCCTATTAGGCCGCCGTGGGATATAAACACCCTTATGTTCGGATGAGCTGTAAGAAACGGGGATCGAATCAGGAATTGCATTTAGATTAATTTTATAAGCAAGTATATTAGGTAGTCTTGTATAATGCAATTACAAGGAACATGCAACCAAATTAAAATTAAATTATTCAGTTTTATGTGCTGATACGTATTACTATGGCCTTATAATAAGTATAGGTTTTATAATGTTTCAGTTCATCAGAGGCTCAATACCCCCACTCCCATTTCCAAATCTCCTTATTCTCTCTCCCCAAAACACCAAAAGGCAGGCAACGCCCTTGTAAATTTTCTGGATTTGCAGGTGCCCATGGGCGACACCAGTTGCATACCACCAGATGCGATGCGTTATTTGCGCTATTTTAATAATTTACTTACACAATATTTCTTTTTGCGGCAGCCATTTTCTTACAATAAGGTTGTCAGGTTTGTTCTCCAAATTATCGTCTTCCCACTTCCAGAGAACGGTTTGCTTTAATTTCCTGAAGACGTTGAGGACTGCCCTCTTTTTCTCTTCTGGCAGCTCTGAACTGCGCACGTTTGATCCAAAGTTCATGTAGACGGCACCGTGCTTCGCGTTATCCAATATTTTTTGAAGATCCTGTGAAATATGGAAGGTATTTAATAGGGTGGTACAGTGGTATTGATTACTATTTGGTAGCGGGTGGTGGATAGCTTTGTAGGATAAGCACAGCTTCAAATATGCCAATTCACGCTTCATCATCATCATCATCAGCATAAGGCCGTTTACGTCCTCTGCTGGATAAAGGTTTCTCCAATAGCCACATCGTTACTTCACCTAACTGGAAGCTACCCTATACTTCGTGTCTATTTCAGACGCCTTATATTCTCAAAGTCATCGATTATGTTATATAATTATTAAATAGTTTCATAAGATGGGGACATAAGATTTTTACTCGATATATGGACTAAAGATGTTTTCCATATACCTACCAATTTATCAAAATTTGTATAAAAAATTACATCGCTCGCTACCAAAACTTCTGTTTCGAAGAAGGCTTCCAAAACCTACCTATTTATCGTTTAATTTAACGTTATACAATTAAGACAAACTTATACAATATTCATAAACATAGACTGTACGTCAATACACAATTCAAACAACGCCAACATTGTTGCTTAATAAAACAACTTGTATTTTAAATATTTATTGTAGTATTGTTTAAACATGAAACAGGTAAATGAAAACCTTAAATGGAGAAATGTGATAGATGTAGAGAAATAATTACTCCAAATATGATTTGTATTTAGTTTGTAAATATATGTATAAGTATAATCAGACATATAAGTGTGGATGATCCATGCATCGGCACGAATTGGTCTCCTCGACTGGAGTGATACCACGGCCACACCGAAAATCGAACGAATTTCGACGTGTAAGCGAGATTACCAGAAGCCCTAACCTTCATCCCCTCTCCCAATTCTTAAATCCCCAAAATGTCTGCAGCGCCTTCGTAACCCCTCTAGTGTAGCGGGTGTCCATGGGCGGCGCTGATTGCTTACCATCAGCTAATCCGTCTGTTGGTTCGCTGTCCAATCACATAAAAATACTTATTACATTATCGGTCAATGGTCGAATGAACGCAAAGGTTTATTTAGTTTTTTGTATTTCTCATTAACAACGTGAGATCTGGCATAACCCGGTACATATATGACTTATTACATAAGACTTGATAAGACACATGTCACTACTATTGAGAAGTGGGTGTTTAATTATATTTAAGTGTGGGTAAGCCGTGCTTTGGCACGAATTGGTCGGCTCGACCGGAGTGATACCACGGCCTCACAGAAAACCGACGTGAAACAACCACAGCATTGTGTTTCGCCGTGTGGGTGAGGTTACCGGAAGCCCATCTTTCCCCTCCCCCAATCTCTAAATCTCCAAATCCCTAATCCCCAAAAGGTCGGCAATGACTCGTAATTCCTCTGTTGGGCGGCGCAGATTGCTTACCATTACGTAATCCGTATGCTCGTTTGCCGACCTATCATATAAAATGAATATTGTTTTTAGGTTTTTATAATAACTATCGTGAGACATACTAAATTAACTAAAATTCGCGGGTTACTCACATGTAAATGTTGAGAAAAGCTCTACTAGTTTCGAACCACAGAGGGGTTCTTCCTCATGAGCAGCGTGCGCGGACGCGGCGACGTCGCCTAGACTAGTAGAGCTTTTCTCAACATTTACACGTGAGTAACCCGCGAATTTTAGTTTTTAGTTAATTGTTTTTAGGTATTTATATCATGGCATATAATGCCAAAACAAAATGGTTCCGCTTGGTTCCATCATAAAAAACTTTCATGACATTTCGCCCATAAATTAAATACAATTTATATAATATTATCAAAATTATATTATACATATCTGAAAAACAACACAACAGAATAATAGTTACCCATAATTTACAAGTGACCGTTCTAATTTGAGCCTAAAACAATAATGAAATAGAACTATTGTTGTTTGAACGTGGGCGGTATTCAAGCGAATAAGAAAACGATGTGTAATGTTGGTAATGATCTTGAATTGAACAAGACAATGAATGAAGTAGGTATCCAGCTTAATAGATGTCAATTTATACAATTATGAACCATTAAGAGAAGTACCTAAGGTATATATTTAAGTACATTTGTAAGATAAGCGCTCCCACTTATGTTCAATTTACATCAATCGTACCGAAGTACTAAATTGTATGTTTGAAATGTTATACTGGTAATAGTCGAGTGTTTTATAATCTGATAGCCGTGAAAAACAGTTCATGAACGATTTCTATTTTGGACGTGGCATAACACCTATTTGGTTTTTGACTTTGACTTTGGCTTTTTGACATTAAATATTCTGCTAGCATTTCTCTCATCTCATCTAGCATGGAGCCTTAAATCGGTGGCATCATAGCTCCTGAACGAATGAACCGATATCAATTTAGGTTTTTTTTTGTATTACAGGTGTTTTACGGGCGAGTGTTCTTAGACATGTTTGATGAAAATCGATTGAACCTTTTAAAAGTTATAGGGGGGTTAATTATAGTACACTAGCTACTCTCGCGCGCTTTCAACCGCTGCTCAACTCCATTGATCGTAGCGTGATGTTTTATAGCCTATAGCACTCGGGAACATTGTAGCTTCCTATCAGTGAAACAATTTTGGCAATCCGACCAGGGGTTCCAAAGATTACTCCCTACATACAAACTTACAAACTTACAAATTTTACCTCTTTATAATATGAGTATAGATATGTTACGGGGTGGTAAAAAAATAAAAACATACAAATTAAGAAAATTACGAGAATAATATGTTCCATGTGAGTCATTATCATTTGTAGCTGAATGAACTTATTGATGTATTATGTTCTACCACATGAGAGATAAATACACGCAGTCACAACAAAACTAGCATAGAACTAATTAGTAGTGTTTATGAGATGTCAAAGTAGTGACACGGAAATAATGGGCCGGGGCTTTAGGTCAATAAATCAATGGAACGGTTAATATACAACGATTGGCTCCATAGCTTATATACATGAAATTTCCCCTAAATTATTGACAAAAATGTGTTGTATGTATTCAAAATTATGTTGACTGCGCTGTTTTTTTTTTTGTGAGCGTAAAATCATCAAATGACGTCTTCTCCCGCCCATTGTGTCAGACTCTTGCTGGCCATGGTGTCTCATTGCGCTTACCCCGCAACCCCGGCTGAACATCAGCCCTACAGGGCTCTAATAGCCACACAATATTGTGTTGTCATATTAATACCGTTTATTTTAAACGAGTAGTGTTATTACGATACAACAATTAAAAGTGCGTATAATTAAGATTCATATATTTTATAATATTACAGTTAATTTTATAATATCTCATTATGTTGTTTCCAAAATGACCGACTTCTTAAAGTTGCAAAAGTATCTTTCAGGTAATGGAAATAAGGATTAAAATTATAATATTAACTAGAAATGCACATTGTAGTCTTAAGTCTAATAAGTTAGGTACTACATGTGGTTTGGAACGTTGCCTAAAATGTTGAAATTGCACAGTTCTGCCTCCACTATAACGACAAAATATGTAGGTATTATAATTATCGCGAAATTAAAACAAATTACTTACTAACAAAGATGCGCTAAAACTTCGCAAAGAAGGGGATTAAGTATACGAATTAACAAACTAAATAATTAATGTATTTACTTTGACGATTTCAATGTGGAAATTAGGAAAAAAAGTTCAAATGGCGCTTCCAATTTTTTTAATAAATCCTCAAATATCTAAACTTTTAATTATGACGAAAGGCTATGTCTAAGAATCATAATACAAATCACAAACATAACAGAAAACGTTACTGGAATGGTAACAAATAGACTATAAAACAAAGGCCCGAATGCATCGTTGGTCTGGACCCTAAGTTCTTGTGAAACCACACATTTAGCAAAAAAGACTACCAAAGCACCACACAGGGAAAGCCACAACTAGAGCCAAGGATACAAAATAAACATCTAGGTGTAAGGAAAATATATGTACATATACTGCAGACAAGTAGCTTAATTGGACTGAATGACTAGCCATTTGATTGAATGGCAGATTTTTTTCCGTCTATATGTTGAAGGAACCAGATTAGCATTAGTGACAGATGGCAGGTTCACAGAAATCGAATAATCATCACATATAAAAATTGAATGGCTCATTAAGCTGATTGGCTGTTAATACGCTAGCTAGTTCCGCGTGATTTCCTCTGATCGTGTTTTATTAATTGTAACATAACGATTTTTTATGTATAACTTTCTTCAATAAATAGACCTTCCAACATAAAAATAATTTGAAATAGAACTAGTAGGCTTCGAATTGGAAAATAAAGCAGCCGACGCCGATATGTGACAAAGTCGTTATTTTTAAAAAAATAATTTTTCGATTTATAATTTACAAAAAAGTATTATTATAGGCAACGTTCAAATGGTATACCTAAATATTGAATACGTATTTCCTGGTATGGAAGTGCGAATTTATTGTGCTCAACCTTGATATCCTATTAATGCCATTAAAGTGAGGATAACTGGTTTAAAGCAGTATTTAGTATCCGTCTAAATCTCTTTAGCTTTTATTCCTACAGACTTACAGTAGGTATACTGCAGACGAAAAATAAAAATGCAATATTTTTGACACCTCACATAGTTGTCCATGGCGGTAAATCGTTAAATAGTAGTTAGTCTATATATCTAATTGGCCTTTTTAGGTCTTTTTGACTAGGAAAACATCAAATGACTCATCCAACGACGTATCCCCCACTGGTTGGAGGAGAAAGAGAATTCAGACTCTTGCCGACTAAAACCCAACCTTTTACTTATTGCGGTACATTATTACTCAACTCGACTATAATATCTAATTGGTCTAACAACTTGTAGCAATATTATTTTATCACGTATAAGGAATTTAACAGTTTTAACACATGTTGGCTCTAATAAACTTGTGGCATTAAGATTGACAACCTTGACTTTGTTAAGTCTTTCCGCGAATTTAATTTCCGCTTATACAAAATATTTTGTTGACTATCATGATAAGGATTACTTTATGCAAAAAGCACTTACCTCAGGTAATTTAGTATCACTCTTAGTCAGATGCACTCCACCAATTTCAACGACATTAGGGAGATAAGCTGCTGGTGTATCAAAACTAAAATGTCCATTCAGCAATATCAACGAGGCATTCTTCTGCAAATCGTACAGACTGGGAACTGGTTTCGGCAAGTCCGGAAGATACTTTCTTACAAGCTTCTCCTGTTCCTCCAAATACCAGAATCTCCAGTAAACGTATTCGTACATTGTGAAGTACCAATTCCTCATTCTAGCTCGGAACGACGTCGGGTCTCTGACGTCCAAAAATTCTGAGATGACTGTAGCTAATTGCAAAGGATTTCTCGCTACTATGTTATGGCGCATGCAGTTACCAAATGTTGTAACTAATACCAAAGGAGCATTGTATTTATGAGCTAGTGTGTACAATGCTTCTTGAAAGAACTGTTCGCTTATCACTAAGTCGAATTTGGTGTCTTCGTGTAACAGTCTTTTGATCTGTGTCGAGTTTAGAGTGAGTTCGGTAAACGCGAGACCTCCTTTCCATAGTACGTCTTCGTGGAACTTTTCTGCCGATATCTCGACCATTTTGAATACGTTTGGTCGACTTCCTCCTGTCAAAGAATATAGAAACCTCGTGAGTACTTATAGTGGAGTAATCAATTTTTTTTTTTTGTGGTGGAGTGAAGGCGGAACGGAGTGGCAGACTGTTAATGACTGTAAACTACCCCGTTCTTTCTCCGGCTTCAAGAGCTCTAGAAATATTTGTCAGAAGATGGACTGTTAAATGGTATCCAGGAAAATTTTTATGGAAAAATTTTGTTGAATTCTTAGTCATTACAACATTATTCTTAACATATGGGGGGGGGGGAAGGCATTCTATCATATATTATTATATGAATGTGCAATTAATTATACGCAATTGTACACATGCAACATACCGTGCGAGTCTTTTATTATATTTTGTAGTCATTAGTACCTATTAAAACTCATGACTTAACATCTTCTTACATAATCTACGAACGGAGAACTTAATTCAGGTGTATTTAAATAGGTATGCACTTAAAATAAATATTATGAATAAACTTATTATTCAATTAATAAACAAATAGAAAATCAAAAAAATCCCTCGAACTCATTATTTTTGTTGCGCGTGAAACACTCAGTCAGTTTGATATTGCGTCCGAAATTTCTCAGCAAAAGTAGATACTATTTGTACGACAATAGGTGCGCGAACGCCGGCGTTTGCTTTTGGTTTTTTGAATTAATATGTCTTAGTAAACTAATAACATAAATAAATACACAATCAGAAATGGAATCGAGACATGGTATTTAAAAATACGAGTTAAAAAACTTACCAATAACATCCCATATTTCCTTTTCATCCACCATGTACTGGTGGTAATTTGGTGGTGGCTTCTCAACCCGATGGCCAGTAATCACTGTCACATTATGTCCTCTTCGGGCCAGCTCCAACCCAATAGGTTTTAACATGATATAGTGAGACTTCGAAGTAAAAGGGACCACATAAAGAATATTGGCGGAATCGCAATATTGAACAACGAACAAAATAAATAAAATTATTTTTAAAGTGTCCTGAAATAATAAAAAAAGAATTTTTAATTTATTATTTAATCTAATTTTTATTTATTGGATTGTTAGAATTATTTAATAGACGTTGTAAAACACACACCATTTTTAGTTTTGATTTAAGAAGAAACTTAGTGTTAGAAAAAAATCCGGTTCGGATGAACGGATAAATCTGTTACACTACATGCTCTTAAAGAATATAAAATCATACTGAGTGACGAGCGTTAAAATGCCCATAGCTATACATAGATGAATAGTCATGTTTTTATTGAGATACGTTTAAGGGTCAATTCACACCTAGAAGCCACGCGATAGTCGCACGGTGGCGCCGCTACCGTCAAATTGTAACAAAAATTAAAAATAATTGAAGAGTCTCTTAGTGTAGTAAAATCACTTATTTGGAACCTAAGATTATTTTTAGTATTTAGGTAGTGTTATAATATCTCATAATATAAAATTATTTTGTCATTAACGTGAAGTAAATATATCGGTACATATAGTCAATTAAGCGCAAGAGCATTTCTCTCTCTTCTTTTTGGTGTTATTTTAGTCATATGTAGAACCGTCCATATCCAGCCGGTTGCAATGCCATGTGCAAGTGGAATAATGTACTGGAGCAGGAGCAGGAACGGTATGATTTTTAGTCAGTAAGATAATGACACTCCCCTTTCCCTGCCCAAAGGTAACAGCCCAGTCATTTCAATATTTTCCCCCTCAAAAATGTTATGTAACAATGTGTATTGTTTGTTCTTTTTCGCGTAAATAATTTGTAGATGTCGAGACTCGCGTCGCTCCTCGCTGTGAGCTAAGCCTTAGGGCTGCTTCACATCAGTCTGATTTTTTGTCAGCCGTCAATCAGTTATTGGACGAATACCTACAGTTGAGACTAAGATCGAAAATTATAAATTACTTCTACTAATCAGTCGATCTTTCTTTCCAAGTGCAAACATCAATTTTGTGCTTGATAATTTTCATATCTATCACAGATTATTAAACTGCTTTCGTGGTATCTATCGCCTGCATCAACGTTAAGGATGTAGAAAAATAATTCAAAAAGTAAATACCTGTTAAATGGCTAGGTAAAGATGAACTTTAAAACAAAATCTAAATAGACAAAGAATTTACAGTCTATTCGTATTGTAAACGGTAAATAACAAATCATCAGACCAATTTAAAATTTAAAAAACCCCCGACAAAGATCCTTTAAATTTCTTCCTTTTGATTGATTCCTCTATAAAGTAATAATTTAAAAAAATCGTGGCGTTGGAGGACCGATCCAAATATTTTATCAACTACTACATATTTTATTTTGTCAGGGGTCTATTTAATTTTTTTATTTTATACTTACTATAGTTATTTTAGATAATTTTATCTCGATTAAGTCATCAACATTCCCTTTCAGTGCGCTGTCATTTGAGACCCCACTCGAGTATATTTGCAGACCTTCGGTTACCTTTCCCCACTTACCCCCCATAACTTATAAACGGCTCAACCGGTTTTTATCAAATATGTCTAAGAACACTCGCACGTAAGTCATCTTTAATACAAAAAAAAAACTAAATTGAAATCGCTTAATCCGTTCAGGCTCCAGGATGCCACAGACAGACAGACAGACACGTCAAAGTTATAACACCCCTCTTTTTCTGTCGGGGGTTAAAAACTTTAAATGTTGATTATTTAATTATTATGCAGGTATACTTCACCCATATTCCGTCACCGTGAAGTCCAGTTAAGGTCGTGTTTGAAAACCTGACAACCATATCATCACCGATAACTCTACTCTTCATTTTTTTATATCCCTGTTGCAGGAATGCATCTTTGTCGTTCCGACAAAACGATATGTCAACCAGTCCTTAGACACACCTGGTATTTGTTACAACTTTCGTTCACAATACAGGATTTTCTAATTATTCTAAAATTTTCCTAACATTTAAGTACAGCAACATTTGAATATACCTAAATATTTATTTTAGAATCACATGGTTTCTAATAATAAAGCTAAAAATATGCACTTAAAACGCTTCCAACATTCCAACCTTCCAATTCCAATGCTAAATTTATACACTGTTTTGAAAAAAACATTTTTTTTCATTTAAATGTCGTTTGTTACCGGTTTACTCAAGGTCAAACAAGCACCGTTTAGCTGTTTAAGTGTTTATAACTCAAATAAACATACCCTCAATAAATATGTAAGTTTTTGTCAATCATCGTAAAGTTTCATCACATCGTCTCCTTCTTTCAGTATTGTCTACAATGACGCCACGAAATCTTTACCATCCGCTTGACGCAGGTACTTAGCAGACAAATAATTTCCCAGTGGATTAAGACCCAGCGCCCGTATGTTGTCATTGCCAGGATCTTACGGAGGTCACGGTGGGACAAACGACGGTGTTGTGGTCTTCCTGAGCAACGCACACTGCCGTGTGTCCTCAGGGCGACAATGAAGGGTAAAGAGAAGAAGCGAGACGAGCAAGATCAGACCACCATAGACAGGGAAAGTCCAGCTGGGGTTGCAACTGCAAATGTAATGTCCCTTGGTCCTCGGAACAGGGGAGGAAACGTGTTGGTTTTAAGTCAGTGAGGGTCTCACTGACACTTTCGTCCCATCCTGGGCGGGAGAAGTAATTGATTATTTAATTAAATAAACAGACGATTTAAAACCTTATTAAAAATGAGTCTGATCTCATTGTGACCTGACGATACTGAAAAAGGCCAGTGAGTTCACGCTCCGCAACAAGCCGCATAGCAAGTTTTCATGCTTGACATTCGTCAAGCGGTCTTGCCCTTTTGTTTTTCTTCTGCAAGAAGTACGATTATTACCAGACTGGCCAGAAATAGTAGGAAAATTTCCAGCGGAGCGGCTTCGGCTGCACGTTGCATCGTTGACCTATGCAAAGCGACGTAGCAGTGAATTATGGATACGCTTGATGCCATCTACAAAATAAAGTTGTGTGCGTTCAGCGTCATGAAGTATCGCGTCTTAGTGTGAACTGATCCTAAGAAGACTGTATAGTGCTGTACGAGTATTACGAATTTCTCCAATGAGTAACATTAAATATATGAACATACGGGTCTGTTTTACAATTTCTGGAACATCCAGACATTGTGAAACACACACAATCATTATGTAGCAGATAACTTGGAATATAGGACAAATTAACAAAGTTACGAATAAATCTTGTGTATAATAATCACAAAAAGTAAAATATAGCTTCACTACAAAATATTTAGATTTTCTTGATTAAATAAAGTTAAATTGGAGTGTGGGCGTTTGTCTTGCGATCAAAGGCAAACAGCGGGCTCCTAATTTTGAATGACAAACGATCTTTATCAATAAGGAACTGCTTTAATATTTAGTTCAATAATAATAATAAAGACACGGGGAAATAGGTTAAGTAAAAACATTATCATATAAATTTCAAATTATATTAGAGAAATACCAACCGGTCTTTCAACAATAAAGCTCAAAAGAAAATCAGAAAGAAGAATATAAATAATAAATATTTCTATTTTCAGCCACCTAAATAGTGATAAGTTTTTTATTTTTATTTTATTCATTTAATATTCGACACAACCAAATGCGTTATTTTAACATAGGTAATAAAGATATTTCCTTACTTCAGATTTTTTCTTTTCTGTTGGCCTTTACTCGACCCATTACACAAATTTTAGACTCCTGGCTGTTAATGAGGCTTCTCGAAAAAACCGAAAAATTATATAATATACATATAATAATGGGCATAGCCTACATAACACAATAAGTATGAAATTCTTATTATTAGGCCTCCTGTAATATATTTTATATTTTCACCCTTTAGGCATCGTCAACTATACCTAATTATATTCTTCATTATTTATAAATAAAGCTAAATATCAATCTCCTACCCAGCATCTCATGCTATGAACGTCCTATTTTAGCTTCCGCATTACTTATGGAGGCTGTCGTGTGCTCATTAGTGATTCTCGGCCAGTTTCTCATCCATTTAAAGTCAAGTTCCTGTATTTAATAACGTCAGTCGTTATCAAGAACCCAAACACACGTGCGTGGCTCTAGAAGTGAGTTTCGTCGCGAGTGGCGCTAGTGTAGTTTTAAGTCTCTTAAATCATTTTTTGAGTTTTGCTTTGAGTTTTTGGCTTTAGTATCTGTATGGTATGTTAAATTATGGGAAGAAAAAGTTCCTTGTTCTTCATCAGTTTCCGCCCACAGCTGGATAAAGGCCTATCAAATTGCTCGCTTCTGAGCTAAACTGAGCTTTCCAGATATCCTCACTCCACCTAGTTGGAGGGTGTCCTTCACTACTACGTTTGTTCTTCGTTTGTTTAGATGCTTTCTCCACTCCAGTAGACTTCTACCCCATGTGCCGACTGCCAATTTAGTTTGCTAATCTTTTGGTGCCTATTGATATCTTATTTCCCTCTTGGATCACCTCATATGACCTCCGTTGCGGGTGTCCATGGGCGGCGCTGATTGCTTACCATCAGGTAATCCGTCTGCTCGTTTGCCGACCAATTACATAAAAAAAATATATTTTTCAATTTATTTCTCGATTTCAAATGTTATTTGTATAATTTAAGAGAAAATTCGATTCTTTTATTAATGTTCTGTCGATATATGGCTTAATACTGGAATGAAGCACTACCTAACATAGTAAAAAATCTTCATCATTAACTTCATATAAAAGTAGTCATCTGTAGAATAAAATTTCCCCTTAATAAAATCTAATACTATATATTACGCGGAGAAGGATACTTAATAATGTTCAAGGCGTATTGCAAAAATTTACATTTTTTTAAATGTACCAAATCAGGTATAGCGTTTAGTGTACCATACGCAATTATCACGGATTTTGCTTACGGGTATGGGTAAAGCATAAACGAGGTTAAATTCTCGTCATGGGACTCATACCTAATAAAACTGGTCAAAATCTCCACACATTTGCAGAATGCAATCTATGTTATATACCATTATTATAAGATACATTTTACAAGTTAACGACCCCATTTAAGGAAAAGGTCGTCCCAATGATAGTCCAAAATTTCTATTATCACATTCCCTTTAATTGTTATCCAGTCTCATATCCGGATAATTGTATTTAAACAATGGGGGATCTCTTTAGTTGAAACAATTTGTTGGCTAAAGATGATAATAAGATTAGGGACGGTTTGGGTAAGAAATATTTGTATTTAACATAGCTGGACATGGTCCCTCGGCCCATATTCGAAGAAATAGTGTTCTAACGTCGGTATTTGGCCATTGTTTTTGTTTTATCTATGTTAATTAAGTTTAATTTGTAGTAACATTAAGCCAAAGTTAATCTGAATTCAGATTCTATTGCTCACAATGTTGTTTCATTCACTGTCGTCGTGATTTTGTTTGTAAGTGGGCTTTTTATAATAACGCCATCTAGCAAGTTTTACACGAACTACGCATTAACTCCTATGCTGTAAGGGAATGGGTGACGATCGCCTCAAATTTATCCATTGGTCGTGTTAGTATTGTACGTACGTACAGAATTATTAATTTAAGTAATAAAATACCCTTCTTACTTAAAGAAGTAATAGATATTTACAAAGAATGTTAATTACGTTATTAACTTCCTATTTATGGGTAATAAATAGTTATTAGATAAACAACACGAGCCATGTCAAAATTGTATATTAAGTACAATAACAATTAATAGCGAATTATAACATCAATAGATAGTATTTAAAAGGAATCTATTAAAAACATATTATTAGGTAACTAAATGATTCTAACTCCAAAAACAATCAAATAATAATTTATCAATTAAAAAAACGGTATATAAGTATTTTATGTTGTTTATTTGATTCCGCGCCAAACGACTATACTAATTACCTGGTGGTAAGCTATCAGCGGCACCCATGTATACCCGCAACCCTGAAAGAGTACTAGTCTTTTGGTGGTTTCGGGGTTTTAAGGATAGGGGAGGAATCAGGGAAGAATTAAGAATGGGCTCCGGTAACCTCACTCACACGGCGAAACACAACATTGTAGTTATTTGACGCAGGTTTTCTGCGAGAAATAATAATAACATTGTCCAGTTTAATACGATTAAATAAATAAATAATAATAATCCTAAAAAAATGCGTCATATTACCTACTATTTTATTTTAAATCAGTAAAACAAAAATCTTTCGTTATCATAACTTATATTTAATAACCAACTCTATACCTACTTAAATGATTACATATGTATATGTACATATATAAATAATACAATAAAAAGCAGAACATAAAGAACAAAGTTTTTAAGCATAGATGGTCAAAAACGTGCCCAAATTCATAAGAATAAGGTTTTCAATGATGCGCTGCGCTAGGATTTTCTCCTGTGTTGTGGGTGCGTTTACAGCTAGATTCGAAACAAACTTTGAAACACAATAAGAGTTTGATTGATCATTGGGCGCATCGAATCGCGAGTTACAACCAATCGTGTAGTGAAGTAAGGTTATTTTTAAAAACCATTTTTCGTTGTCGACAATGATACCTAACAATTGAACTTCTTAAAAAAAATAACGATTGGTACATTGTTATGATGACAATTTTAATCATCTAACGATACAAAGACCAACCAATCAAGTGAAGGCATTCACAACCAATAAAAATACAGATACATGTGTAAAATGTATACCAAGTACCAACCCTGATTTCAAATCAGGGTTTAAAACAATGTCAAACAAGTATTTCGGTAACCAAATAGTCCTAATTAACACTGCGACGTGATTAATTGGGTAGTTTCCTTTGTTCAAAAATAAATATTTTTGAATAGTAAGTCGTAAGACATACACGGGTACTAAATTTGTTCACAATAACCTACACATATTTATGAACAGCGTGCGCGTCGCAGCGACGTTGCGCAACCGACTGGTCGACAAAAAAGTGGTCACGAAATGTGTCCCTTATACCGAGTCACTTAAATTTTAGGGATTGTTGGTGAAAACGGGCATGAGACTCGTCCCATTGTACCGCTGTGACTTGAAGTAGTAGAAGTAGAAGTTTTTCTGAGTTATTTCATTTGAGTACGTCATTATTGTTGATTAATTATATAAAATTTTGCATAAAATGAGATTCAAATTATATTATTAACTATTTGTTGAAAATCTTTATGGCGTCATATGTTGCAGTTCTCGTAGAAAATTTCTTAGTATGTGTATGTTTGACTAGTTGGATACTACCGCAAGTATTAATTAGACAAAATAATTTTACTATTTTGTCATATTATCATCGTTACAGATACTTGGGTTTCCGATAACCGAAACCAATTCTCACGAAGCATTTGTATTGGCTGACCAATTTAGCTGTTTTATAGATAACGGAACTCAACAAACAAAAGACGATAATAACAAAAGCGTAAACATCTAACATGTTATAAGTAATCCAACTCATATTCAAGGCTGGACTTTTTATATGATGAGCTCCCTTGTTTCTGATGACGTATTCAATCCAAAACATAGCTGTATCTAAAGGTGACATTGGCCTGTCTTTGAATCTTCTAGAAAGTTCTTTAGCCCTTTTCAAATAAGAGTCATCTTTTAGGAATTTGTGTAGTAGTCTTTCAAGGTTTTCTTCGTTGATATCGTGGAATAGCAGTGTAGTTCCCGTGCCGGCTTCTTCTGCTTTGATCAAATTCTTGTACTGATCTCCGTAAATTGGGATTCCTATAATCGGTACTCCATGGAATACTGCTTCCAATGTCCCAATGAGACCTCCGTGCGAAAGGAATACTTTTATGTTGGGATGAGCTGAAAGAATTTAATTTTTTAGTTGTTTAGTTGTTATCTAAATAAAATATCCACAACCCTTTCAATGTGGTAATTCGAGATACAATAGAAGAACAACAGTGCTGAATAAAGGGAAAGCTATATTGTCTCACCTATAATAAAAAATTAAAGATCACCTCTCAGACTTCTTTATAAATATACAAAATATTAAGCAATTATTAATGACTTAAAATAAAAAAAAACAAAATGCTTACATAATATTTCCTTTTGGGGCATCCATTTCCTTACTATAACATTATCGGGCTTCTCGTCTAGACTCTCAGCTTCCCATTTCCAAAGAACCGTTTGGTTCAATCGCTTGAAAACGTTGATTAAAGCATTCTTTTTTTCGATTGGCAATTCTGAGCTTCGTACATTCGATCCGAAATTAACATAAACCACTCCTTCTGTTGCTCTGTCTAGAATTTTTTGAAGGTCCTGAAAATTTTAAGCAGATTGATTACAACAATGAAGTTGAATTCCTTTCGACACGGCTAGAGATTAATGTTTATTTTTATCTGTTAAAGATAACACATTTCCTCAGTACTGCCCAAAATTTGAAAAGCAAAGAACATTTTTGGGAATGTCTTATGATAACACCGGTCTGTACTTTTCAATTTAGGAAGTCTAATTAGACGTAGATAACATTGACCAAGATTTTAGTCGGAAATTACACATTAAGGTCACTAGCATATCTAACATTCAAATTATTTTAAAAATGTATAAATCGTCAAAAGGTATTCATGAGAAGAAAGTACACAAATTTATGGTGCTGCAATGACTCATCCAATAATTGACATTAACATTTTAATTTGTGACGCACACGTTAAATTATACGCAAACTTTTTTGACATCGTACGTGATATTATGTATTAACAGCTGTTCAATTAACGGCGACATGTTTCGCATAAAAAAGATCTAACTTTTGAAACAGAACTCAAACACAAAGTTTATTCCACTTGGCTCATCTGGATGAGATCACCCAGGTAAACGTCGTTTTGGTTTTGCGACCACATTTTGAGTTCGGAAATTCATTAAGTAACTTTTCCGGCCCTGAGTGGAAAGAGGGAGAGTAGAGAAAAGGTCTTCTTCTTCTCCGGGCTGGGACCGCAGTACATTACTGAGTTGCACCTACCACTTTATTCCATTTTACTTAGGCAATATGAATTAGGTGAAAATAAGTCAACCCAAGTGGTTTCACAGACAGCGGATTAGGTAGAAAGAAGCGGCTAGATGATGTATAGCCGGTAAACAAATGGAATAAGACATACAGAACGGAGACAAGTTAAATGTACTTAATATGAATTCTGATGATGATGACAAAATTTATTAATGAAATAAATCAGAGTAAAGGTATTTGGGATAAATTAACTAGATATCCGATATTGAAGACAAAAAATTGTTTGGGTATATGTTTTTGTTTGCCTGTGTTACGACTATTAGTGTTATAAACACACACAAATGTTAATATATCTTCAAGATTGTGTAGATACCACTAATAAATTACGAATGAAAACATCATTTGTGGAAATCTCGTCTTATCAATTATAATTGAAAAGTTATAGTTTGAAATCAGTCAATCCGTTTTGATCAAGCGTGGTTGTTGACAAACGAATGATGAATTTTTTTTTAAATATTCTGGTTGAACTGTCAGAGGAATTAATGTGTAGTGTAGTGATAGCAAGCAATCTAAAGGATAAATCTATCATGTCCAATATTGGTAACTAGCTAACGGACAGACGAATAAATTAAAAAATAAATTACGTTCCTATTCGTTTTATATATAAAAACAGTAAAATAAATAATATACTCACATCTGGTAACTTTGAATCACTTTCCTTGAGATGTATTCCACCAATTTCAACAATATTAGGTAGGAATGCCACTGGAGATTGGAAGGAGAAGTGGCTGTTCAAAAACAATAACGAAGCGTTTTTTTCCATATCGTACAAACTGGGAACGGGTTGCGGTAGGTTAGGAATGTACTTCCTCACTAACTCCTCTTGTTTCTCCAAAAACCAGTATCGCCACCAGAAATAGTCATACACATTCAGGTACAAGTTCCTCAATCTTCCCCAAAAACTGGTAGGATTATTCGTGTCCAGAAATTCAAAGCTTGTTGTGGCCAGTTCTAAGGGATTGCCGGTTAGCAAGCTATGTTTCATACAATTCACCATGGTTGAAATTAAAACTAAAGGAGCGTTATACTTATGGGCCAAAGCGTATGTGGCTTCTTGGAAAAACAGTTCGCTTATCACTAAATCGAACGTTCGGTTTTCTGCTAACAACGATTGAACTTCGGGGGATTGCAATGACCCCTCGGTCAGAGCTAATCCACCTTTCCAAAGAATCTCTCTGTGAAAATCTTCTGCTGAGTACTCCGCCAATGTAAAGAGATTTGGCCTGTCTCGACCTTAAAGGAAAAAATACACTTTACTATTGTCATGGTGGGATGGATGAATAAAATCGTAAGTATAATGTTAATAAAAATTGAACAATTTGAATTTGGAAACAAATGGAAAAAAGTTAAACATTACAATTTAACCTACACACTAAAATCCATGTAACCAAATATTTCGAACACACAATGAAAACTGGCGCGTCACAGGGACATGAGCAAAACTGTCTTGGATCGCGAAACCAAAAAATATAAGTGTATCCATCTTCTAATGCGATGACCAAAAATGTTATTAATTGTGGTTTAAAAATTTAAGGGGCTAAGAATTTCAGAATTTATACTTAAACAAAAAATAGGTTAGCTCCCTTAATAAAAGAAAAAAATTTCGATTGTTAAATCTATACAATTAAATATAAAAAATAGTCGGTAACTTTATTTCTTGAGACACGTAATTTCCAAATATTTTTAGTGTTTTTAATAACCTACCTACTATTATTTTGATGTTTAACGCATTATAAATGAAAATTTACAATGAGTGTTAAAACAATTCGAAATTCAAAATTGAATTGTCTAAATGGAATCCAGCCAGAATGGATAGCAGAATTCTCAAATGACTAGAACCTTTTTAGTTATAAAATGTTGTGTTAATATCTTACCAAGCACGTCCCATATAGTCTTGTTAAAGACCATTACTTGGTGATAATTTGGGGGATGATCAATTTCCCTGTGAGCTGTTATAACAGTCACGTTATGTCCTCGACGAGCCAATTCTAACCCCACTGGTCTTTGCATTATATAATGAGATTTCACTGAATAAGGGATCGCGTATAAAATATTGGCAGATTCACATATTGTCGCGATTGTTAAAACAAAACCTAACTTCAATATACCCAACATGGTGACCATTAAAATACCATAGAAATTGATTTAAATTAAATTACTAATAAATAAATATCTACTAATAATGACTGATTGACGAGCAACGCCGTTTGTCGCACGCGACAAGGTTAGAACAATTATGAAACCGCTATTATGTATTTATAGCTTTATATATCTGAACGAAATTTGTTAACTATTTTTATATTGTGATGTATAATGAAATGTCTGAGTGATTGTTTGTTTGTTTGATTTTTTTTGTTTCTTATTATTGAACCAAATAAAAAATTATGAGATTACGTATTACGTTATGACTTTTATAGTCGGAAAAAGTAACAATTGGGTTATATATTTTAAACCAAATGAATATACACAACTATTTTTTGAATATATTTGTCGCGTTGGCTACAAATATTTTGGTGAATGAAAAACGCTGAAATTAACATAATCACCATTAACACTTATATGGCAATATATTATGTTATAAAGCAATTTGACAATAAACTTATTTAAAGCTTTTGAAATCATAACATTGCCGAAAGGAGTTCAATCTAATTCCTTTATTTATATTTTGTATGGACTCTTTTGAAGTTAGGCCACTGAAAATTTTAAAGATGCTGTCCGTTCTTGAGAGTTTAGTTTGGAAGTTACTCTTTATTCTAAAAAGTACTTCTTTTATTGAGAGGAAAATTCTTCAAATAAATGTTTGCTCCAACATTGAAAACCTATGCCAATTCCTCCTCCGAGCTATATTTTTGTACTTGACGAGTAACTCCGGCCGGAGCAATAATACATACATACTAAAAAAAATTCTTTGAGAAATATATTGTCGTTCTTTCTTTAACTGAAAATTTTGTCATATCAATGCATTTATATATTTTACGCAAGCAAACCCACGGGTATACAGTTGAATGTGTCCATTACGTAGCACAACTGGTTCCTAGATGACCGTAACGCCTAATATGGAAACAAATTAGTTATAAATAATAAAAATAAAGAACCGTATTGTATTGTTGAAACAAGTGTATCATGCAGCAAACACATGTTATTTATCAGTCTTTTTAAGTATTATTACAGAAGTTGGTTTAGGGAATAATTACTGGAATGATAGTTGATTGATGCTACCTTTTTTGAAGAGGAGCACACTTTGAAGGAATCTAAACATTCCTATAGTCTATCTCTCCAAAACCTAAGCACTCCCGGGCACGCTATTATAGCAACAGTAAGACCCCTCTTTGAGGAGTGGCTTGAGGAGGAACCATGGTGTCCTCACCTTCCACCCGACGCAGGTGCTTACTAGGCACGGCAGCTTCGGTGGGTTCCTGTTTTAGATCCGGCAGGAAATGCTCGAGTGTCGTCACTGTGAGGATCACCTCGAGGACAGCTTGGACAATGCCGTGTCCTCAGGGAACGAAGGCGGCGAGCTCTCGCGCCCAGTTGTAGTCGATGCCATGGTGTGAAGTCAAAGAAACTGGAAAGCTGTCTACTCTTTCTGTGAAGCAGTAATGCTCGCAAAAGAGACGGTTCGCACGAGAGGACGGCGAGTAAGAGTAGCTCGCCATCCGACCAGAACCAGACCTAAACGTACGGCGCGTAACGTTCCACGCGCGTATCAGAAATCCTATAGATCACCACAGACCGATGTTTTTCCAGGGTTGTGGAGTAAGTGCAATGAGGCACCGCGGCCTCGGCCTAGAGTAGGAGAAGGAACAGGGAGGTTTTTAGTCAGTAAGAGTCTGACACTTCCTCTTTGATCTCATCTTGAGCGGGAGAATTTGGTGATTTCCCCTAACAAAAAAAATTGCACTCCGAGAGTGGGGATTCTTCAACTTCACCATCAGCATCATCATCATCGACAGGCCTAGACAACTGGATGGAGCTTTCAAATTATTTACCTAACAGAGGAGAGCTATTACCATATCACATATACACACATACCGTTTCTTTTACTGCCCTGAGTCGGGTACATCGACCTCTTTCACCCGCAACCCCGGCTAGACATCGGCTCTAGTGGGCACCATCAGAAGTAGTCTGACGGCTCTTCGAGGAGCGCGTGGAACGCGACGCGCTTTGCTCTCGAGAAGGATGTTCGAAGTTAACACAGAAATAGTACTTAATATAAGTAAAAACGTGGTTAAATTAATCGCAGTTTAAAATTCGCAGGTTTGATGAATGATTTCTCCAACGTCAACTTGGTTATCTACAAGGCCAGAGTAAATAGAGTGCTGATGGGCAGGCATGTTCAGTCATAGACTGCGTCATCGTTGCCCACCCGGTCTCCAAACCAAAAATAGCGGTTTTCTGCTTTATTTAGTAGTGAAAGTGTCCCTCCCTAATCCCTAAATCACTCGTTACTCTTCTGCTGTTGCGGGTGTAAGTACTATATGGGCGGCGCTGATTGCTTACCATCAGGTAATCAGTCTAGTCGTTTGCCGATGTATAACATAAAACTTTTATGTACTCTACAAATAATTTAAGATCTGCCTATATTATAATTAGTAGGTATCAATATGCTTTATTTTCAATTAATTTATTTGTAATAATATTTCAAATACGTAAGTACGACTTATTTGCGTAACATAAAATATTTGTAATCGGGTCGTTTTCATACATGAAAAGGAATTTGGAACTCTTTAAATAATAGAATAATAATTATTTTTTATTATATTTTTCTTAATAAACCATGAAAAATATGGTTTTAATTGTGTTTGAATATCTAACAAAATTGTTCACTACCTACGACCTCACACTTGTTTGCCTCCCGGCTTTTGTAAAAAGAGGAGTGTTAGGTATCTGTCGCTAAGTCTGTTTCTTAGTAGCAAAAGTGGATGAATAAAAAATGTTTTAAATCAAAAGCCTTGTTCATCTTGGTCTTTAAATCAGCAAACAAAACGCTATAAGCATTCAACGCTAGATGAAATAAAATTGAGACGCTATGTGGAATTATCGATGATAACATGAAGCAACGACAAAGTCAAATAAATAGTTCAATTGGAATACACCTATATGAAGCACTTTTAAAAGTCAAAGAAAAAACAAAAAATTAGATGCGTCTGTCTATCTAGCAATTCTCAAGTAAAGTCTTCTCTAGTATTTCGAAGGACTAGCGCTAAAATAAGTTTGGTTTTTTTCACCTTCAATAATATCTATAAATTTTTTCTTTGTAGGATCCAAGACTGTCTTTTCATGTCCCTGGGATGCGCCGGACTTCAGTGTTTCGGTGTTTTCATGGTTGTATCTTCTGTACCTGGTTTACAGGAGTTGCAGTGGTTTTAGGAGGTCGTGGCGTGCTTTTCCCATTAAGAGAACTTCAATACGATAATAGATAGGTGATTACTTGAATACCTTTTAATTTCAGGGACTTCCAAGGCCTACTTTTATGATTCATTTTATTAATTTATTTCTGTCACTACATATAAATATTTGAAAATGAAACAGTAATTTAAATGATGTAACTCTTTAAAATCCAATTAATTGTTATCGATGACACGTGTCAGCTATTTTGGAATAAAATAACCGTTGAATGCCATTGAGTTATAATTTAATTTTTTATTAACCGCAACTTCAACTGGAAGCGTTTCAAATACATACTAGCTATTTCTGGATCTGTCTCGGGGCAAACCTTTTGTGGGAGAGCCATGCTTCGGCACGAATGGGCCGGCTCGACCGGAGTTTTTTTTTATGTAATTGGTCGGCAAACGAGCTGCAGCAGGATTACCTGATACCTGATAATCAGCGCCGCCCATGGATACCAGCACCCGCAACGGAGGAGTTACAAGGGTGTTGCCGACCTTTTAGGGATTAGAGATTTGGAGATATAGGGATTGAGTAGGGATTGGGGGAAGGGAAGGATTGGGCCTTCGGTAACCTCACTCACACGGCGAAACACAACGATGTGGTTGTTTCACGCCGGTTTTCTGTGAGGCCGTGGTATCACTCCGGTGGAGCCGACCCATTGGTGCCGAAGCATGGCTCTCCCACACTTAAAGTTATAGCGTGGCCTCACATAAAAACGGCGTGAAGCAACACTTTTATTGCAATTCGCCATGTGAGGGAGGTTACCGGAGGCCCAAAGCTGATCCTCTATCCTCAAATCCCTAATAACCTACAAGAGTCCGGCAACGAACTTTTAGTAACTCCTTTGGTATTACGAGTGTTAATGGACGGCGCCGATTGTATCAAGGAATATCCGTCTGCTCGTTTGCCGACCAATGAAATTTACACCTGGGAGATCTTACTTTTAAGTAATCTGACTTAACTGATTTTATTTTTACAAAACAATTAATTTTATTCTGGATTTGAGTAACATGTAAGAATACTAATATTATAAAGAGATAAAATTTGTAAGTTTGTATGTAGGGGTACCTATAATCGCTGGAACCGCTGGTTGGATTGTCAAAATTATTTCTGATAGACTACAATGTTTCTGGGTGCTATAGGCTATAAAACATCACTCTACGATTAAATGGAGAGCAGCGGGTGAAACCACGCGAGATTAGCTAGTATAAGTTTATTTTGATGACTGATGATTATGCTGATTGATATTTAATTGTAACAAAACTTAAGCCGACTTAATGTTGTGATGATGAAACTAAACACGCGCTTGTATCACTTTTGAAGATGATCAGTAGGGCCGGCTGTACCTTTTTTCCTGCAACTTTTATTTTGATCAAATTTTCAATCCCTGGGTAGGCCAATAATATGCATAATTAAATAAAATCTCAAGTATAATATGACTTTGGACTGCGATTTATTTTCATGACAGATTTCGTCCAGATCCATTCATCCATCATGTCAGCCTCAAGATGTCCACTGCTGAATATAGGCATCCAGTGATATCCAGGTATGCTGTTTGGAAGCTATGGGCTTCCAACGGCTCCCTACACTCTTTCATGGGTCCTAAGTTTTTTTTTGTTTTTGAAGGGGAAAATCATCCATTGTCTTCTCTCACCCAGGATGAGGCGAGAAGGATTGTCAATCTTACTGACTAAATAAGTACTCCGTTCCTTCCCTGCTCCAGATGCCCAGACCGCGGTACCTTATTGCGCTTGCCCCGCAACTCTGGCTCAACATTGACCTTGTTTGGCCTCATCTGTGGTGGTCGGGTTCTGATCCGGCGGCGAGTTACCCTTGCTTTCGTTGTTCCGCAAACCCCACCAGAGATCGTTGCACTATCTCCGACTTCCGGAGTGAGGAGAATAATTCCCTCACGCTCCGCCTCTATCTTTGCAAGCATCACTGCTTTCCAGTCCCGCACTATGGGCCCGACAAAGGCTGGAGTCAAAAGGTCAAAAGGTCGCTGCCGCAGATAACTTCCTTGAAGTCACGGCGGTGCTCAGGCCAAGCAGGGCATGGTGTGTGTGGTCCTCACAATGAAGACACACATGCGTTTCCTCCCGCAAATGATTATTTGCTCGGGTTGTTAAAGCATATAACTAGGTCTGACAGTCATCAATATTTTTATTAGAGTGCTTCTAAACAGAAGCATATTTTTTTAATAATAATTTGTGTTTCAACATGCCATGCATGTTAGATTTGTTAGATTTGGAGTGCGTATAATGACTTTTCTGATCAACCACGGATTACCTGTTGGTAAATAATCAATCAATCAATCGGTGCCGCCAGTGGACACCTGAAACGTCAGAGGAGCTACGTGTGCGTTGCCCGGCCTTTTGCGGATTAGGGCTTAGGATTTCTAAGATTTAGGGGTTACGGGAGGGGAAGAAAGATTGGGCTTGCTGTAAACTCAATCACGAAACACAATGATGTGGTTGTTTCACGCCGGTTTTCTATGCGGCCGTGATGGGTCCATTCGTGACGACGTCTCTCCATTATGATGATTTAATGTCATTTTTTTTTTGTTAAATTATTGCTCAAAAAACTACGTAATGTACTAACACATAATACATAAATCAGTATTCCAGTAGGAACATGATTATTTTTAAAACAGAATCAAAACGCCTGTACATAATATTATAGCAATAATTTTCTTCTTTACTAATTGCTAACATGCTTTTATAAAGTCAAAATCTATGTATAAACTCATTTAGCGAACTCGAAGCCACCATTCCTTGTTTGTGGTGATGGCATTAGACAAATGTGGATCGTTACAACCACATTCCATTATTAATTAAAGATTGTTATGGTGTAAACCTGCTTTCATCGTTTGAAATAAACATTACCTTTGATTTTAAACAAAGAAAAGTATTTTTTAATGAGTACCACACTATAATGTTCTAGAATACTTTGTAAATATAAGTATTCTGTAAATTGACCATTACTTTTTTTGTTTAACAAGGTCGGCAATGTTAAAGAGTCTGATACCAAGAGTTAGAAGCGTTGCTCGACGAAAGTCTGGATCAGCGCCATCTGTATCTCACTGGAGGCACTATAGGATTGTGGCAAACAAGTATATTAGTTTTGTATACGAACTGCACTTAAATAAAAACAAATGGTATAGCCTAATATATCCTTCTACTTTTAAATCAAGTGTGGGAGAGCCATGCTTCGGCACGAATGGGTCGGCTCGACCGGAGTGATACCACGGCCTCACAGAAAACCGGCGTGAAATAACCACTGAGTTGTGTTTCGCCGTGTGAGTGAGGTTACCGGAGGCCCAATCCTTCTCCTTTCCCAATCCCTCCTCAATCCCTAAATCTCCAAATCCCTAATCCCTAAAAGGTCGGCAACGCACTCGTAACTCCTCCGTTACGAGTGTCCATGGGCGGCGCTGATTGCTTACCATCAGGTAATCCGTCTGCTCGTTTGCCGAGCTACTACATAAAAAAAAAAAAATTTTCTTTCTTATGTATTTTCTCCTTGTGATAAAAGAATTACAATGCCGAAACCGTTTTACCTGCATGATTTCCACTTAGCAACAAAACACTTTTTATTACTTCTAGTTTATTCCTGAGTCATGGGGGTCGTTTTCAAACATAATAAAATCTTACCGAACTAATCTTTCCCCTCCCCTAATCCCTAATCCCCAAAAAGGTCGACAACGCACTCGTAACTCCTACGTTGTTGCAGGTGTCCATGGGCGGTGCTGATTGCTTACCATCAGGTAAGACGGCTTACAGTCCTATCACATAAAAAAAATATAATGTCACATCCACATCACACCCGGACTTGGAACAACAAATTGTAATTTTGTTGTTTCAGCACTAAGAGTTGTTCCGTTCCTCAATAGGTTGCACGGCAGCCGGTTGCTCACAACAACGTCAACTGTGCAGTCAAGCTATCGTATCGATTCATATTAATATTATAGAAACATTTACTCAAATAAAATAGAAACATAATACTTTTTCTATCGAACCCATAGCCATGACACCGAGGTACACATCATACCGTGAAGTTAACACACAGAAATAAATTTAATGTATACTATGTCATAAAGAAGGAAGATAGACCCTGAAACAAATTGAGCAATTTTAAAAAGTTCTTACAATGCTGGGAAGCTACTTTAGCCCCAGTGAACATAGTCTATAAAAAAGGCCGGTGAAACCGCGGGGCACAGCTGCTAGTTAAGTAATATTATAAATAATACAAGTTTTTAGTGCGTATTAACACATTATAATTTTATTGATACATTTTTTACTACAAAAACTTATCTTATTTATTATTACTTTTTATTAATTAATAATTATCTTAAAATATCAATATAATGTTATTACAAAAAATATAAAGCTATTCACAAAGTTAACGCTTTCGATTATAAAAACGTACCCGAAAACTGTTTTATACTCATTAAGTACAATATGGACGGATTAAAAACATTATTAAAATTAAATTAGTAAAGCTCTATGACTTTTTACATTGTAACACGAAGCTCTTTATTTCTCTTTATAAACAACAGTTACTGTGTGTGAAAATAAAGTTAGATAACCTACTAACTAAAGCGTTTCAAAGATTCAGTCTGTGTATGACTTTGATTCATTTAGTACATTCGAAAAAAATATGGCAGGATAAACATTTATAATTAAATTCCTCAATGATACACAAGATACTAATAATCTCTTATTTTCTCGATAACTTTATAGTTACTGCTCCTTCGTTCCGAATACAATGGACCATTCTTCTCATATCCGTGGGGCGCCGACCGGATACCATTTTCTATATACTTGGGGCTAACTATTGGCTCTTTGTATCCCCTGCTTTTCGTTACAGAATTTATTTCCCTCGACTCGATAATCTCCTTTGAGCGGCCGTCCCTGGATGGCACGATCTTCTTGCTGACAGTTTCTACAGTGTCAGTTACACTGGGACGTTCAGGGTCACCCGAGCGAGTGGTGTATCGATATGTTTCTGAATAGTTGTCACTACTGTTGCTTCCCCGCCTTATTGCCGGCGACTTTATCCTCGAATCCAGCCGGGACACAAAAGGACTCGTTTCCCTATTGAGCGATTCTGTTTTGTACAATGGCGTTTTCCTTTCTTCTGAGATACGTTCCTTGTAGTGAGGAGACGGCGTGTTGTATCGAGACGATAACCTGCTGCCGTCTGACTCGTCGTCAGCATGCAGCGTTTGGTATAACTCTGGTGCTCTCTCACGAAGTCCTTTAAGGAATATCTTCTTCTTGTCAGTTTCGTCATAAGATTTGCTAAATCCATTCGTATGTCCATTTGTGACAGGGGTGGTCTTACCATATCTAGCCCCAAAGAGTCCATCACGTCTGCGCTCAGTCTCACGAGATACAGCATCAGCAAGGTCGCGTTGACTGCGGTTTATGATGGACACAATTCCTGGACTTTTCAGCTGCTCTGGGGTTTCATCAAGTCGGCTTAGGTGGGGGTTAGATTTATACATAGTTGAGTAATTGCGACTCATTGTAGATACGTAACGTGGGTGAGTCTCCTGTTCAGGAGCTCCCATAGCAAAACTCTTGCTCCTGTTGAGAGCCTTGTACGTCCGCGCTGGCTTCGCTGGTCCCGGTGGGTATCCGTTGATTTTGCCGTCGGGTGTAGCTGTCACAGTGCTATTAGAGATATTGACGGCGCTGCTTGATCGCTTGTTGGGTGTGAGCCTATGCCAGTACTTGTTGGAACTGGGCTTCTGTGGTTCGGTGGATTTTTCTTTCCTATCGTGCAATTTTCTCGGCAGCGTCTGCGCGCTGCGAGTGTAGTCCTCTTCGGGCTCGATGTTCGGATTCAGTCGACTTGTGGAGTGACTAAACCGACCCAGCGTGCTCGAGAATTGACCCCTGGAAATATAAAAGAAACAATTGAATATTTTTTATACAATCCGCTCATAAGATTTATTGGCGTTTCGTGATCATGTAATACGCTAAGCCCACGTGCAATTATTGTGTCGTAGGTAAGTCGCAAAAACTAGTAATCTTGTTGGTGTTCTGGTAATTGGATTTAATGGGGAATCTCCTCCCACGCGTCTAACAAGAACGCTTTGTTTTCGTTCATTTGACACGTCTTTGTAAGAGACTGAACAAATTGTGCTTACAAGAAATATTTTAGAACGAAAAAGCTTACAACTATTCTTTAATGTATTTCAATTATCTGTAGGCGAACCGTGGCCGCTTTGAGTCGTTTGTTGTCCAACAAAATGGCGGAAGCGAATTCTTCTATTGTATGTAATTTGCAAAATAATTATAACATACTAATTTACATACAGCAACCTCCACAAAAATGCGACAGGTTGTTATTAGGATCATTTCTGTGTCGTGAGTCATTTGTCATTTGTCATTGTAGATATATTGTGACTTCTCAATAAAGTCAGTGTTTCACTGGACAAACACGAGTGAGTCATGTACTAAATAAGGGTTTCTTAGCGAATAAAGGTATATTTACCCTTAATAGGCAATGCCCATGGACGGTGATGGATTAAAAAGGCAAGATATGCCGGAACGCAGTTTTAATTGAAGGTGCATGATCGTGATTGACTGATGAAACCACTCGTATTGTCGTGTCAATTAATGTTGAATGAAGTTACTGTCTTTGTCTAGTAATTAGTCCTGGGATTGAGTTCAATTGAACGTTTGTTTTGATGTCATTGTTACACTTGATAGGATTACTTGATTGGTGTTTGTTTGTGCTTAGCTGATTGTAATGTTCGTACAATATAATAATATTAACGGGAGGTTTAGTTATATCACTAAGTATTTCACTGCATTTGTGTTTTTTTAACCTTTCCCCACATGAGTTGTTAAATGCGGGAGTCGAAATTGCAACACGTTGCGCAACTGCCGCTATACAACATATGTACAAAGCTGTAATTAATACAATTATTAGTACCGTTAATTCGTTTTTTTGTATCTAATCCATATTCTGACACCTATAACTATATTATTTTGTGATAAATAAATAAATAAATAAATAAATAAAAAATAACTTCACCACGATCTGTACTATTTGCTGAAGACTCACATAAATGGAATTTACAGTAAGGATCACGGAATAGAAAATACAGGTAACGATTTGTAAGTAAACATTTAAATTGATTCAATTGCCATACGTTTATACAATTACATAAGTGCACACTGACTTTATTATACCATTACAAGTCCTTTTCGACCTCGACAAGCCTTTGAAAAATGCATTCTTGTATCATGTTTCACACAACGTATTGTTGAACGCCGATGTACTAAGTTTTATTATAATACACATTTAAATGAAACAGGCTATTCAAATAAGTACCTTAGTACACTTTAATTAACGCACATAATTCCTTTTAAGTTGATATCTAAGAAATAATAAATTTGCATGCATAGTAATTAGTTCGTAACCTTGTATGATGCTGGATCTAACCTAGAATGGTGACAAGTAATGTATCGCTAGACTATGGCATTTTTCATTTAAAACTAATCAACCAACTTGGCTTCGTTTCTTCTCTTCCAGTTTATGCAACAACCTATAGTTATTTGTGAAAATCGTATGACAATGTGTTCAGCTGTTTATAAGTTCGAACGGTACAGACTGGTAGACAAAAGAAATAAAAAAACTATGTTCCTACATGACAATATTGTTTATTAGAATTATTTTACCTGTAATCATTGCATAAAATGTATAAGACACTAAATTTATTTTACGTTTTTTTTTAATACTCTGTATACAGAAGCTGTAGCTATGAATAAATACATATGCTCTCATGATTGAATTAAGTTTTACTATACTTAGACAATACTTTAAATCATAGACTACCATTATTATATGTATGGATAATGTTTCATTTTGTTTTTTTTTCATTTATTTACTATCTGTTATTTAAACGAAATGCCCTTTGTATATATATATTTTTTGAATATTTTTCAAATAGTGCGACGCATTTCTCTACTCTAATTTAGTTGTAATAAAAGTTAAATTACTGTGGTTTTTTATATATATTATGTGGACTGATTTAATTTTATACAATGAGTTTGCTATATTTTAGAAAGAAAATAACAACTAGGTATCAGAGAATTCGGAATAGGCGTAAATAATCGACCATAAAAATATTCATTACGTTTTTCTTTGGCTAGATACCTTTTAAACAATTGTTAAGTTGCGTTTTGTTTTGAAACTCGAAGAGCTTTTCTCTGATAATTCACGTGACTAAGTAAGTCGTTATTTTCAATAAGCCAAGTAATTTAATATAATACTACTACAATCAATACAATTTAAAAGAATAAAACGTTTTTTAAGTCCTATAATTGTTATTACTGTGTAAAAATATGAATCAAATGATATTTTACATACGTGCACATTTCAAAATGTAACTACATAAGCATAACATTAAGTTCAAACTCGCTTAAATATCCTGTTTCCTTTGTATCCTTTAAAATATTGTTCTTTTCTTACAATAGCTGTATGAAAATGGCACTAATGAGTTCAACTGTTCATTGTAATCCGTACTAAGTCTTAGAATATGACTTGCAAGGTAAATCTAGTTACCTCTCTACTCATGTAAACAATAGAACAAACAGCTGCCATGTGGTGAAACAACACATACATAAGTCAAATACATATGTATATATGCTTTTGAAAATACTACGTTTTACCACGTTTACGAAACCTCCAACCCACATGTTCAAACTTAAAGCAAACTCAATCTTTATTGCTATCGGCTCCTATCAAAACGCCGTAACTTTATGATAATCTAAACACAAAGCATTAATTAAACGTTTCATACATTCGGATGTAGGTGGACACGGCATGGTAGGACAACCTTCTATTTAAGGCTCATTATGATCATATTTTTTTTATTAAAATTGAATATCTATCATCTAAGATCATAGCCTGTTAAGTTCGACTACCAAAATAGATAAACGCGAGAGGCTTGTTTGATCGGCCCATACTAAGTAGCGACACATTATTATATCACAATAGCTAATTAATTTTATCGATGTCGATATAACAATAGGAAGTAGATATATCTCACCTTTCTCGGTGATCACGGGCGTCGGCAGCGGCTGCGCGTCTCGAACTGCCCTCGTACTTGTGCTCTCGGCCGTAGATGCTGGGCGCGAAGGGGTCCTCCCCGAGGTAGTAGCGGTGCGGAGGCGCGACGGGGGGCGCCAGCTCGCCACCGTACTGCTTGTACGTACGCGAGGAGTGCTCCGGCGACGGAGTCCGAGAGTTGCGCCACCGAGCACGTCGCTCCGCGGATGCAGATCGAATCTTCCCAACTAACTTCCGAATTGAATTACCGATCGCTGACCCCATCGATTTACGCGCAGGTGACGGACGCCTTCCATTGTCAGCAAATCGAGTCTTTTGATTTTGTTTACGCTCGTCACGATCCCTCCGCCTCGGTGGCGTACGATCTCTGTCTGAGCTTTCGCGCCTTTCCCTGGGAGGAGAATAATCTGGTGGAGGCTCCACGGCAGCTTCTTCACGACTGTCACGTGACCTTCCCGAATTTTCATTTCGGGATGAGCTTCTGTAGCCACTATCGTAGCGATGTTCCTCAGACAATCTTTGTTTCGTTGGTCGTTTTCGTTCCGGCGCGATCGGCCGGTAGTCGTCCTCGACCGAGGGCTCGCGGAACGAGCGCTCGGCATCTAACGGCCGGAAAGGCGAGCCGCGTGGTGGACTGTGCATTGTTGACGACGACACGTAGGCGGAGTCGTCGCGCGAGGGCGGGTGGCGGCGGCCGATAGGTGATGACCTCCCCTGAGGCGAGTCGCGTTTCCCGTACACATGCCTTGGGGAGGAACCGTTTAGTCGATCGTCGCTGGCATATGGTGAACGCACTGTCGGTGGTGATGGGGACGAGCTGCGTGGCTCAGGCATCCTGGGTTTGCTGGCACGTCTTTGTGACCAGTCAGCAACACCTTTAAAGTAGCCACCGGTCCTGTTCACTGGTGCTGCCGGTCGTTCGTCTGAGGGCGTCGACGATTTCGTTTTACGAAGAACTCGATCTCCATACACTGGTGGTGGTGGCACTGATGATGTCTTGCCGTAGTATCCCTCGTCTTCAGGCTTCTTGTAGAACGTAGGGTCAGCTCTCCGACCTATTTCCTCGGCAATGGAGTCATGTGAGGAGCGGGATTCACTGCCGAAATGATTCTCGAGCCACTTTGACGTTTCTTTCTTGCGTGTTTCTTCTTCTATGTCGTAGTCAACGGGACGTTTGTAATCCTTGTCGTGTTCTGGAAACAGAGTAAAGTATGAGCGCGCGGAGTAACAGTGCGGCGGCGCGGGCGCGCGCGCTGCGTCTCACGGTGGAGTGGCGCACGCGTCGCATCCTCTACCACACGCTATGGCGTAATCATTCAGTCAATAAGTTTGCCAAACTGTCGAAGGTCAATGGGATGTATACTCGAGACAACTTTACTTAACTTGCTAGACAGTAGGTACCGTGCATTATTTACTGAATGATAATTTCTAGGTCAGTATTGCTTCACGTTATGTTTATGGTGTTATATAATTATTGTCAGCTTTGGTGGTCATTTAACTTATATGGTAATACTGCTATTGTATTTAGATATCTATACTTAGTTCGCGGCCATTTTAGGAAATATTTGAGGGGAGAAATTGTGGTCAACTGGCAATTGTTCTGAATAAACAAATACATTACGGATACCAAAGAGAGATCGGCAGTAAATAAGGTTTGATGAAGTACCTACATATGTTCATTGTTAGCGGTTGTTCGTAAATAATATTAAGGCCTTTTTAAACTTGAAAGGGTACCGTCAGGTCGTCACCTACATACATAAATAAACTTGTAACAGCCAGATTGACAAGTCGCTGACATTACAACACGGCACACGGAACCCGGTGATCTTCGCAATCAAGTTTACACGCCCTGTAAGCTTCGACGTCATTGCGAAAACCGTGATTAAATAGTCATTTATGAAGAAATTTTTATTTTATGATATGCATCGTTCTTGCTTATTCTAGTGTTAGCCAATTGTATCAGAGCATTTGGATGAAAGTAAAAGTTAAACTGGAAATCCACCAAGTATCAATAATTATGAATATTGGTTGAAGGAATTAGGTAATATCAAATATTTTAGGGTAGCCAGACTTTTGTGTGCAATAAGATTACTTAAAAAAATTGACTTGTCTTAATCCAGACTTGAAAAACAATCTAGTAAAAATTGTGTAAAGATTCTTCACGTAGCATCAAATAACTTCTCTCGCCCAGGGTAAGACGAGAGGACTAAAAAACAACCTCTTCCTTCTCCTGCTTCAGACCTAGGCTGCGGTTCCTTACTGTGCTTGTCCCACAAACTGGGCTAAAATTTCGTTTATCGTTAGATAAGGAAAAAAAATGCTCTTTTTTATGAGAAACTACCTTCACGCGGTTTCAGACGCTGCTCGGCTCCATTTGATCGTGTTGTTTTATAGCCTATAGCACTCAAGAACATTGTAGCTATCTATCAGTGAAAGAATTTTAGCATTCCGACTAGCGGTTCTAGATATTACCCCCATATATACAAACTTACAAATTTTACCTCTTTATAACATTATTATAGAAGTACCTATTAGATAAAACATAAGTGATTACCCAAAAATAAAAATAAAACAATGCTTTCTTGGTAAGTATTACCTACATTAAAAGCAATAAACCAAGTACATGTTCCACCCACACAAATACACTTCGTAAACCAAGCAGTATGAATTACATTAGGTAAAACATAAAACCATAAAGTTATGCTTTCTGAACTTTAATGCCTTAGCATTCAATGCTAAAACCTCATTGTTCAGGGTTCAGTCCTGTTATTTTACGACAATACGCCAAGTGACGTCACTGTAAATTCTGATAACTAATGCTGATATAAATGCGAAGTAGGATTTGTGGTTCTTGGTACTTTATTGGAATACCAACTGTGAACTGCAACTTAGCCCGCGTTGTCAAGGAAATTTGTTTCCATATTCGAATAATTTGGTATGCATTTCAGTTTAAATTGTGATATCAGCCTCGTTGCATTATTATTATCAGCTGCACAAATACAAAGAGCTGAATCGTCAATGCTGTATCAACATCATGAAGTATCTATGGTCGAAATTATTAATTTATATTTTTTTCTGTTATAAAACCAATAAATGTATTTCAATAATTTTCTTAACCAATTGTCTATAGACTTCATTATGCGATTAATTATCTGTACAATCAACTAACTTAATTAAGGGCAAACAAATTCCAAGCTAAATGCAGCAGAGCCATTCACGAATGGATTGTCTCGACTGGTGTGCTACCAGGGCCTGACAGAAAACCAGCGTAAAACAACCACAGCATTGCGTTACGCCGTGTGTTCGGAGACCCAATTCTTCCCCTTCCTCAAACCCTAAATCTCCAAATTAATTATGACAAAAAGGTCAGCAAAGCACTCACAACTCTGTCTAATTGTTTTCCGCCCTATCATATAAAAAACATTTCGCAACACGAAACTAAAAAAAAGAAATCGACATAAAAAACAGACGAAAATGTATAAAAAACAACAACAAAAGATTTCCCTTAATACCTATTTCGTTCGAAAATTTTCATTTCATCAGAAATGATATTGCTGTAAACGGGTCTACGGACATGTCCCAACCTCCCATCCGAATCGCGACCTCAGAGCGTAGGCCCAATGACTTACCATATGCGGCAACTTGATGGGCATGTACCATTAAATTGACCAATTAAACTCTCGTTTGAACAACACGTGTGTTTACTAACTCCTTAATTGTTCGCAAAACAATTTACTTACCTGATTTGTAAGGGAAAGTGGTTGTGCGTCATTGTGATTAAGATTATACTGATAGGTTTTGGGGCAATTATCTATAGCCGAATATAACTTAGTAAGAAACCAGCGCCGTGTCCCTGCTTCCTGCTTCCTCTAACCGGTGTCAAACTACCTCTCTAAGGACGAAAACTTCGATATTTCCACCCAACTTTCCTAAATTTTTTTTCAAAAGAACCTTCTTCTGACAATAATAGACACAACAAGAATTAACGAAATTGGCCCAGGCTTTGCTGAGTTATGCACTTACCAACACATTTTCCGTAGGTACCCAATTTCATATAGAACGAGGTTTCAGTGCGAAAGAATAATTGATCGTTCAACTCAGGATGGAAGAAAACGTAAAAAAACGGAAGAAAACTCCCGCCTTTTTTGAAGGCCTCTCAAAAAAGGCGGGAGTTTTTATAACCACCGTGATTTTCGTACTGGAGTCTATCTGTTCGTCTATTCTCTTTAAAAAACGTTACCCCAAACTGTGTTTTTCTCCTGTGTCTTGGGCTGTGAGTGCGTTTACAAGCGTACGATTTCAGATAAACGGGACACCCAGACTCGAGACAGAAATTTGTGAATCACACAAGCGCTCCGTGCGGGATCGAACCCTTGACACGTTTCACGGCAGCTGGTTGTCCAACCACCACGTTAGCAGTGCAATCGTAAATATCTTTATTCTAATGAAAACTAACGGTTAAGATACTTCTAAAGATATCCAGTTAAAAGAATAATACGCTTAGAAACCTTTGCTCGGCAGTGGGCACATAAAGGCTGGTTATGAGAATAATTAAATACAGACTGCTAATACAGTACGTAGGAAATATACATTTAAGCAAAAATAATTAAAGAAGGAAAATGAGGACTTTAATCAGCTCCATGAAGACAATAGTTTAAGGACCTAATGTACTTCAGAATAGAGCCCATTGTCCAATAGGTTAACACGACGGCTTGGAATTTGTCTCGGATGTGCCAGGAAGTATCGTCCCTCACTCCTACTATGGGCATCCTACGTAGAGTGCGTAGGTTCGTAACTGTGCCGGCATTACATTTCCATAAAGTACCTTAGTAAAATCGACGGCAGGTCAACCTGACCCACAATCTGTTCAATTTTTTCATTACATTCTATACTTTGTTATCAAAACAATAAAGTTGAAATTTTTTAAATGATTTTAACGGATTGAAGGAGGTTTAATTGCTGTGGACTGTACTGTAAGTAGGTACTGGATGCAGGAAGCAAGCAAAGGCAACGAATCAATATAATAGGCATTGTGATTGTTTGATTATAAAATACGAAGTAAGCACGTCCTTATCAATTCAAAGAAGGATATTGATTTGGTTTGTACTATAAGTATACCAATAAGAATTTTGAAGAAAATTACAAAACATATGTTTTAACCATAATATCTTTACCGAGACTCGTTTTTGTGTGGCCAAAAACTGCAAGCAACTGTCGCCCAGGGTCTAGGGAAAAGGAGTGTCAGATTTTTACTGACTAAAAACCAATCCCCATTTCTTCTTTTGCTCCAGAGCAAGGATGCCTTCCTGCGCAACCTTCAGATTGAAATATATATAGGTCAAATCAATATTGTTAAATTTGTTATTTAACTCCGCAACTTATTTAATTTTATTTAATTTCGCCACATATACATTTTCTATTCAAAATTCAACTATAAAATTATATTTGAAATCATAGACCAATATCAGTGTTAGCATTACTACGCGAAAATTCTACACACAACATAATCTGTGTATATTTACATTTTTCTTCCTCAATTTATCTCACACGTCCAAACCAAATCAGTAAATATCGTTTGCAACAAGGAAGGAGCATTCAAATCACTTGTATGTCGCGCTACGCTCGAGTAACTCGATCGATCAACTTGAATGCAAACAATAGCCGAGTTGTAAACTACGGGCAACTAGCCACAAGGTCGGTATGTGTACCAGTTCCCACTAGCACGCTAGTTACAGTACCAGGCGATAAATATTTGCACATCGACATTTTAAAAAAAGAAAACTTTTTGTGATAAACTTTTTGAGATTGTGATAGGTGAAGTTATTTGTACAAAACGTTTTATCTCTCAATTTTTTTTTCTGTAATGCCTTAATAAAGGTACGTAAACGAACACTGGATCACCCGATTGAATTGATGTTGCCAATAGACTCCTAGTACAAGCGCATTGGCAGTTGCCATTGGATTTAAATATTGGGGAATTGGCGATGGGACAGGCAATTAGGGCTTGTGCTTTGGCCAAACAATTTGTACCTTCGGTTATCTTACTCACACGGCAAGCGTTACTTCACTACAGTTTTCCGTGAGGCCGTGGTACACTCCGGTTGAGAGGACCAATTCTTGACGAAGCATAGCTTTCCTAAACTTAAAATGAGGCCGTGGTACAATCCGGTCGAGGCGACCAATTTGTGACGAAATATAGAACACTTAAAGTGACTAGTTTTAGCGAGCTGTAACGTACAACAGACGTACCCTGTCGAATGTCTCTTTCCAAAAGGTTGAGTGCAATATTTATCGCCAGGTAGTGTACTAGACTAATATACTTGGTCCAAACTATGAATAAATTATCAAATTGATGGATTGACGAATATTACTAAATTTATCGCTTTTGCATCTGATTCTTGTTTCGCCAACGTAACCTATACTGATTATTTATGTTGATTTGTTTCCGAAATTTTTGATTTTAGTTATTGATTTATAGATTGGCGGTTTTAGTGTTATGTTATTATATTCGCTAATAATGTAGGTTATCATACTTCGGTTTGGTTGTCTCTGAACTATTTGTGAACAATTGGCGAACGATAGGTACGTTGTAATAGTACTGACTCCACCCAGGCTGGAATCGGGGATCGAGAGATTATATTTCTCCGGCCACCGTAAGCGCGGGTCTGCGGTCGGCGAATTAGGGCAGCTCGCCACCCGACCAGAACCAGGCCCGAGCGTACGGCGCGTAGCGTTCCGCGCGCGCCTCAAAGAGCCATTAGACCACCACAGACGGGGCCCTATAGGGCTGATGTTCAGCCGGGGTTGCGGGGTAAGCGCAATGAGGCACTGCGACCTCGGCCTAGAGCAGGAGAAGGAACAGGGGGGTTTTTAGTCAGTAAGAGTCTGACACTGAGGGCGGGAGAAGTCATTTGATTATTTGTCTCTCACAAAAAAAAAACCCGGGGTGGAAGTAGCATTGCGATTATTTTCTCCTATAAAAAAACCGAACGCCAACGTAGTCGTAGGCCATAGCCGTAGACTTATATTATATTAAGGTATTAGTATTAAACATTACCATAATAAAGACAATAATTCTAAAAGCCCACAATACAAAGCGACATAAAAAGTTCACTTAATCAAAATACGTCTAAGCAAATCCAATAAATTGTACAAGGCACACAAAAAAAATTAAATCACTCTAAACTACAATAAATAACATAATCACATCGGACATATTTCAATCAACATCAACATAAAGTGTTGAACATCTTGATAACTTTATAGCAATAATAATAATATTATCGACTCTAACGGCTTTGGAATCATTACACACCAATTTGTAGAAGTACCCAAGATTATGTCGCCTTAAGCGGCGTTTAGACAAACGAGATTTTCAAATAACTACGAACAGTATAACTTGTATTATTTTCTTTAAAATGTGCTATTAGAAATGTGGTGGAAGTGAGTGTCAAAAAAAAAACCGGCGTAAAACAACTACAGTATTTTTCGCCCCGTGATTGAGGTCACCGGAGCTCAATTCTTCTTCCCCTGCCCCAATCTCACCCCAATCTCTAAATTTTAGAAACCTCAATCCCGAAAGTGCTGGCAGCACACGCGTAACATCACTGGTTTTCTGGATTTCCATGGGTGGCGCGATTGCTTACCATCAGGTAATCCGTCTGCAAGTGCATTTATTACAACTCTTAAAACCTCGTCTAATGACCAAGTACATAATTAAGCAATGGAATTATTAAACCTGGAGTGTTTTAGGACACCAACAACTTGTTGGGCCTGTTACCAAAATGAACCAGAATATATCCTCGAAGGAGTACCTATGGAATAGAAACGATGCAACGCAGCACTGAGCACGAGAAGGAAGGGGGTAGTTTTTGGTCTGTAAGAATCTTAACTCCTTTCACCCCACCCAAGATTAGAAAAATCATTAAATGATTTCCCACCTCTCAATAAATCCCGAGCGAACGGCGCGTAGCGTTCCGCGCGCGCCTCATAGAGCCAATAGACCACCAGAGACGGGGCCCTATAGGGCTGATGTACAGCCGGGGTTGCGGGGTAAGCGCTATGAGGCACCGCGACCTCGGCCCAGAGCAGGAGAAGGAACAGGGGGTTTTTAGTCAGTAAGAGTCTGACACTCCCTCCCGCCCTGCCCTGGGCGGGAGAAGTCATTTGATGATATTCCCCTCACTAAAAAAATCTCTCACTAAATAAATATGCCAAGCTGTTCAAACCCTAACATCATTATAAAATAATTTAAAAGAAGGTATACGTTTAATTGCGTGCTACTACGACAACTGCCCACGGCGCCTATCCATAAAACACTATGAACTTTTATGGCAACTTGTTATTGCGAATAGTTTAAAACTACCGTGACGCTTGTACGACAACCGACCTCATTGGCTGTTACAAATACCTTTATTCTTATCAACCAATGAGATTGAATTAAATTGTATTCATTATACGTGATTTAAATGTTAGAACTAATTAAGATTCTATTCTGAATGAGGTATGCGTGTAAGAAATAAATTGCGCGTTATTCATATATTATGTGGGTTGATTTGATGTTAACAATTATTATTACATGTTTAATAATGATCATTATACCTCGGTTTTATGCGTAGAGTTCTATTAAGTGGTAGGTACATAGGCTTTTGGTTATGAACTGAGATAACTCGGTACCTTATTACCATTTTTTTATAAGTATCTTCGTTTAAAATTAAGGTTGTAAAAAAAGAGAGAAATCATTTATTTGCCACTTAATACTAACTAAGAATCAAGTAAAGCAATCAAACAAATAAACAATAACAATGCCTAAAATAATAACAACAATTAATAATTTTATACAAGAATATTACCAAAATAACTGATAATATTATGATCTCCGAGTACCTATCTTAATGAGTATTTTCACTTAAGTACTGATTAAATACTAAAATAACAAAAAAACTTAATGACACGGCCTTAACATTCCTTGGGAGAATGTCTCTGTCATCAAGTGTAATGGATGTCATATCTTATCAAAAAATTCGAGTAAAGAAATAACTATCTAAATACTACTCTAATATTATTCAGTTAAGTACCAAATTAATAATATGCTAGTTACTCTCTATAGATACGGAAATCTTTGATCCACCAAGGCTGACACTACACACCAAATATGGCCGCGATTAAACTATAAGCACATTAATATAAAATCGCACAAAAGAGGTTGATTCACATGAATGAACTTATTTAGTAAAGACTAGCAAACTCAACGCAATAAATAATCACGCTTCAAGATATTATGTAACACTTTTGTTATAAGTCTTATAAGGCGGGAACAATATTAACAAGATTGTATTGTTATGTTTTGCCAATTTAGCGATTTATGGACTGATGATTGATGTTCCTCCTAATTTTATTGAACGTTTCTGCTTATAAATTTTGGTGTGGTTGACTTGCCAAGCACCTAACCTATTTTGTTTTTAATTAGCAGATTTGATTGTGCTCGGTGTATATTACTTGTTTCTATAAATTAAGAACGGTTATCGAAAAAGGAATGATTTTCTTTATTGAAAAATATTTTCAAGAAAAAAGCGCGCCAATTAAAACTATGCATTCTGCGCCATCTATCGGCACTTATACACACCATGACTTCATTGCTTGCTTGAACAGCGCCATCTATCATTGAGTAGCAATACTATTTTGCCTTATTAAGCCATCTAGTGATAAATGAAGGAACTTATTAGTTCGAAAACTTACCGACTTGACGAAGGCGTCGCTGGCGTCTCATTCGAACTGATAAACTGTCCCAGTCATCATCCATGTTTGGCTGCCCTTCTCTTTCAACTGCGAAAAAGATAAGATTTTAGTTGAGTATCTAAAACAATACTTTGTAGAAAGTCAATATATTAAAAAAAAAATATGTTGTATTGACCAAATACTTTTTGTAGGTAGATTCCATAACTATTTGTTATATTTATGTCGTATTACTAGTGCTCTTTAAGATTTTGACATTATGGCATTATGGTATTATGTAAATTACAAAATTTATAATAACGTTAAAAGTCTAGAGTGAATAGGATTCTAGGTATATGTATCTCCTATTGGCATATTATTTTGAATACAAACCTTCTTCAGTGCGAGACCGCGAATTGATGTGCGTAGCGACCCTCAAGCCGCCCGCCATTAGATCTGTGCTGTTCTCAAGATCAACTCGCTTCCTTCGCTCCGTTCCACTTGTCTCTTCTACCACGCTCTTGTCACTTGGCAGGGATTTTGCCTGGCAAGTACAAAAATAAATAAATAAGTTTGAAATTATGTGTGTTCACATTTTTACAAAAATAGATATATGTATGTATATAGATTTCTAACGGTCTGAACTAACCAATCTCAACAAAGAGTATGTAACAGCTAACGCTAAATCTCAATTCGAAATCCGTGGATTAAGATCAATATTTGACATTATGTGGTGAGTTTCTGCCAAAAGCTAAAAACAAATTGCGATCCAGATATTTTTCTTTAATATTGAATACTTGTTATATACAAAGCAGGTGTTGTGCACCTAGCTTAATATTGCAAAAAGATTTGCAACATCATTTAGTACATATTGTATGTACAGCATTTACCAAATACTTATCTTCGATTCAATTTATGTACGAAAAACAAAACCTTTACGTAACTTAAGCTTTTACTTTATTTCTTGTTGTAACAAAATAGACAAAAGTGCAAAAACCTTACAGAGTATAACCATATTCGTCTCCATCTAGTAATCTATAGGTACTAATTCCTACCTAATTATAAAGAGGTAAAATTTGTAAGTTTGTATGTAGGGGGTAATCTTTGTAACCGCTGGTCGGATTCCCAAAATTCTTTCACCGATAGATAGCTACAATGTTCCTGAGTGCCATAGGCTATAAAACTTGACGCTACAATTAAATGGAGCCGAGCAGCGGATGAAACCGCGCAAAAATAGCTAATATATAATATCTAAGTAAAAAAGTGAAAGTATAGGTACATTACCAAATTAAAATTACTTAAATGTTATAGGTAGAAATATAAAAGATTTAATAGCAAGTCATTTGATTACAATGTGTTTTATATAGAATTCGAAATTGCAGACCAAAATGATAAACGATGAGTTTACAATTTTGGCGTAAGCACGAATTATAAATTCCAATTTTATATACAAGATAAAAAAAATCTATACATAGATAGGTAGGTATGTACATATATTTCAAGATGAGTTTAATAGGTTTTACTAGAAAAAGAAAGAAAACCTTTAGATTTCGATAAATTGTTCTTTTTTTAGTTGTTCTTTTATATGGATTGATGAATTTAACATATTAAATATTAGAGCTAGCTTTCAAAAAGAGACCAACTCCAAATGTTAAAATTGGGTTTTTCCCGTTTACAAAGTATCTGAAAGTGACTGCGATCTTCATCTTCATTCACCTTAACATGATGAAGCTGAAGATTTTGTTCGAACGTACCAATCTCAAAAACTACTTTAACCCCTACTTATACTGTAACCCTGAGTTCCGAATGAAACCGCGACGTAGTAGCTACTCTATATTACTATAATTAATAATTTGGAAACATGTTCGTATAGATATCAATTGCTTTTTTTATTTTAATAAAAAACGTTGCCCCACACTTCGATTATCTCCTGTGTCATGGGAGCATTTACAAACATACGAGTTCACACACACATCACACTTAAGCAGTCAAATTATGAGTTCACGCATGTTATGTATATTATTTTACTAACACAAGATTATCAATCGCCTGTTATATATTATTTACTAGCTACTCCCGCACGGTTTCAATTGCTGCTCGACTCCATTTGTTTGAAGCGTGACGTTTTATAGCCTATAGCACTCAGGAACATTGTAGCTATCTAGGTATCAGTGAAAGAATTTTGGCAATCCGACCACCGGTTCCGAAGATTACCTCTACTTACAAACTTAAAAATTTTACCTTTTTTATAATATTAGTACAGATTAATACAAAATTAACCAGAAATCATATAATTTTACCTCTTCTTTAGATAGTTCCTCGTCGCAGACTCGTTCTTGTTCTTTAGTGTGTCGTGTCTCAGTCACAATCGTCCCATCTGGCCGTAACGCCCGCAGTTCCTCCTGCAACCAAACGAATACTTAGCTTAGCACAAATTATAGACCATGGCCTCACAGAAGACTGGTGTGAAACAACTACAGCGTTGTGTTTCGCCGTGTCAGTGAGGTTACCGGAGGCCCAATCCGTCCCCTTCCCAGTCCCTAAATCTTCAAACCCCTAATCCCTAAAAGGTCGGCAACGCACTCGTAACTCCTCTGTTGCGGGTGTCCATGGGTGGCGCTGATTGCTTACCATCAGGTAATCCGCCTGCTCGATTGCCAACCTATTACATAAAAAAGTAGCCTATGTGCCATCCCGCAGTGTATTCTATGCCTGTGCCAAAATTTATCCAGATCTGTCCAGCCGTTTTGGCGTTTGAGTAACAAACATCCAAACATCGTAACTTTTGCATTTATAATATGTGTAAAATGTAAGATTACAAGTAATAATTTTATTACAGCCGAAAACAGTATGAAAATATTTTTTGTAATAGTTTTTAAATTCGAACTGACTATTGACTTGGTCGTGTGATTCCAGCATACAAAAATAATCCTTAAGTTATTCGGATTAATAACAAAGAGGTTGCATTTATTTATCCTTAAGCAATGCTCACATAGGTGCTCTAATTCATTTTGTTATTATTTTATTGTTGCACATTAATCCCTAAAGGATAAGGCCATTAGTTCAATCACAGTAAAAATATGTTAAAGACGAAATTGGTCAAATCAAATTATACCATTTAAGTACAGATTTACAGTCTTTTTTCGAAAGCCTTACCCATTTTGGTATTTTGAAAACAGGTCAATTGCTCAGTCAACAACGAAACACCGACCTCGTACTAGTTTTTATGGATTCGAAGAAACCAAAAAATCCTATTCATCGAATTATCGCGTTTGGCGTAGATCAGTAATTTTTATTTGACTTACTATTTAGATGTTCAATATTAAATGAAATTTGAATTTTCGTTAGCAGCTGCCAATAATAATGTAAACAGAAATGTGATAAAACAGACACCGTTATGAGTCAATAAGGTTCAATATCGGGCAACATTTGTTATTCTAGTTGAAACTATCCCTGACCTAGTATTTTGGTCATCTGTATGTGCAACAAAAGCTTTGTTTATTTGTCTAGACAGTTTTAATGGTGACATTTTATGACTACCTCTTTTTCTTAAATGATTCTCGTATGCCTATTTTCCATAACAATTCTCTTAACAAAACATTTTATAAATCTACGTATAAGATACCGTTTACCTGTTTTTACATTCCATTTTCTACGAGGCATATTAATGGCCGTTGACATGGCCTCAAAAATCAATGAATTAATCTTCCTATCTATCCTGTTATATCAGAAGGTCACTAATACTTACTGTATCATCAGTGGTGATAGTAGTGTTGTATGCTACTGTATCCTTAACAAGCTTGGGGCCCCGTGGAACGAGCGCCAGCTGGTGCTCTGTCTGCGATTTCAGAGCATCGCGTATGTCCTCCTCGGGAGTCTCATTCACTGCCGCTATCAGAGCCTGAAGCAAAAGAAAACATTTTATTAGTACATAATACAAACAAAACAAAACAAAAATATCTATAATATTGTTCGAAACACATTAATTCATGGGTAAGGTAATAAATACTATTTAATTTTTAAGACTACATGCAACTTCTTTGGTATTATTTTTATTTCGTGCAAAGAAAATGTCAGAACTGACATCAATCATGGTTGTTGACAAAAAAACAGATCTTTAATAAATATGTGAAGTTGTTCAAAAAATGTCAGGATGACCGAAAGCCAATTTTACACACGGGCAGCAAATTACTGGGCTAGCGTGCCAGCGACGGTCGATGGAGTGCTCGGAGGCTTTGGTCACATTTCAGAAACCGACATCAATGGATCCAAGGCGTTCTTGGATGACATACTTGCCTTCGAAAATCCACCCGCTACCAAATTGGCATTGGACTGTGGTGCAGGGATCGGCAGAGTTACTAAGTACGTACTTCTCCCACGATTTGAAAAAGTAGATTTAGTAGAACAAGATGAAAAATTCTTAAAAACCGCTAAAGAATTCATCGGATATGATGACGAAAAGCTAGGAACACTATACCAAAGTAGTCTTCAGAGCTTCAAGCCCGAAAAAAAATATGATGTCATTTGGTGCCAATGGGTAACTGGACATTTGAAGGATTATGATTTGATTGATTTTTTCGAGAGATGCCGAATGTCTTTGAACACGAACGGTGTGATGGTAGTTAAGGAAAATGTAACAACATCGACAGAAATCGAGTACGATGAGAATGACTCGTCGGTAGCACGGCCTATGGAGCTGCTACAAATATTATTCTCCGAAGCCAAACTGAAGACAGTGAAAACTGACATCCAACAAGGATTTCCACCTGAAATTTACCCAGTTCATTCTTTTGCACTAACTAGTATGGATCAATAAATAGCTGAATACTTTTGTTCTTCTTTATTATTAATGCTATTGCAAACAGGTTTCATTTACGACTTTAGTTCGATATTTATTCACGTCTTAATACAAGTGAGTTTATCTTGGTTAGAGTAGTGAATCGTGGTCCGAATTCGTGATAGTGTCGTTTAATAAAGTAGGATCCCGGGCGTGCCGCAGCTTCGCAACCTATTCGCAAGTGCATTCACCGTTTTGGTGTTAAGTTACGAAATGCTTGCGTCAGAAGCCGCAAGGACTTCGGAATTTGATCTGTTAGCTACAAGGCTTTGTGTTGATATCTAATACTTTTCAGTAACAATCGCATTATTAGTAGGTCACTCGCCAAAGTGGTTTTGTTTCGTAGCCTTTGAAAGGAGATAATGAAAAGCCCACATCCGGAAGGCGGTGAATATCATGACTCGCTTTGACCTGTAAGTAGGAATTTCAATTGAGGTAAGATCTGAGCAATGATGGCGTATCTCTGATAATTAGCCGTTGAACGAGCGATGATGTTCAATCAAAGAACAGTTAGCGATGAATATCGCACGGCGCTCTATTATTAGGGCCGCGTCAATCTCAACAACGTTGTATCGAGCCTTGCCCAGCAATTTGATGTAACAGTTACATTCCGAAACGGGGAATGTTCAGGCGTTTGATATACGGTTTTTACGTGCGAAACTAGTTGCGTTTTACTTCCTGATCGCCTTGAATGTGAATTACGGCCTCAGTCGGTGCAAAGATAAATGAATTCGAAATTTTAATGTCACGAATGTCGTTGACGTTATTTTTGTCGATGACCAAACATGACCTGCGAGTATCGATGTTTCCCAAAGTTTCTACACTAGATATGTTTACAATTTCTTTTCACGTGTTTCGGTTAAAATGTGCCTAACGTTACTTTGCTTGAATTGTGGAGTAGCAATCGACGAGTCACGTTTAGCTGTAAATTATATTGATGTTCTGCGATATAAAAAAGTTTTGTACGCACACTTGTAATTACTGTGAGTATTATGTACATTTTGGTACTACCGTTCGCATTAAGGTAATGTGAATTCTCAAGGTCCGGTCAATGCCCTTTGTAATGTCAGAATAGATGTATTTTTGCTAAAGTTCAGTTGAGGTCAGGTTGGACTTATTAAAAACTTAATTAGCGTTTAGCGACTGTGCGTCCGTAACTTAGATTAAATTACAGTGATATGTTTTCTTCTGCTGCGGTTCTTTTACTAATTAAAATGAAAAAATATGAATTTTAATTTTAATTTATACTTGGACAACATAAACAAAGATTATTACATTAATATTTTATGCTTATTAACATGATGTCTGGACAATATAATGGTCTGTTTTTTGCACATACATGTGTTTCCATTTTTTTGTCCTTCCTTAATATTTAATCGTATTAGTACATCATTATTATTTTGTCATCTTAATAATATCTTCATTTATAAGCTTAAAAGTATAGTCAGTATGACTAATAAAGGTACAACAGTCAGGGACGCTGGGCAATCGTCGGGACGGTTTTTAGTCAGTAAGAGTCTGACACTTCTTCTCGCCTGACCCTGAGCTAGGGAAGAAATTTGATGATTATCCCCTCTCAAAAAATAGGTCCAAATGCAAACTTTGAAGATAGAGAACCAGACACACTTATTCAATATAAAATGCAAATTTATATCAGTATAAAAATACACCTGGTCGCGTCGAAAATCCGTTGAAACTATGCAAAGAAGAACAGGTTGTTATTTCCGTTGGAACGTACAGAAAAAAATGGTTGCTAAGCGTATTTTAAGAGAACTGTCCACAAAACGTGATTGCATTGGATGGAGAGTGATTCTTAAAACACGCATGAAACCCACTTCAGTGTTACGCTACTATGGAGTAGGCACGTGGGGTTCAGAACGGGTCAGGAGAAATTTTACTCGATACAAACCAAAGTTAAACGCTTAGTAAACTATTAGATTTTCTATAATAACAAGCTGTATGTTTCTTTAGACGGTCGAGTTCAAGATCTTGATTTGTTTTTGAGGACTTCGATGTTTAAAAACATGTAGTCCAGTTTGAATTTGCGCGTGGTGTTTGCCAAAGACGAAACTATGATAAGGTTACCTACCTCATATATTTTATTTATTTATTCATCTACTTATCAGTAAAGCATAATATAATTATATATATTAGGCTGTAATATTTTGTAAGCCTAAGTCATTTTATTTGTAAACATGATGAATGATATGTAAAAGCACGATGGGATTGACATCGTCACAAAATGTGTACAAAAATCCTTCAAAATAAATGAGATTAAAAAAAAATCTACTTATCAGTAACTAGTATCATAACAGATATACTACTCCAATTCGATAGTGTAGCCATCAGCCACATAAAACCTATGCAAGCAGTTCATCTTTAATGAAGTGCCGGGATGACTGAGATGTGTTAGGTGTTTTTTTTTCCTGAAGAATCTTAGCTAGGTTAGTAACATCGCCGCCGAAAACCCCAGTATTTATAGTCTCATACAAAATTTTATGAAAATGGTTGGAGCCGTTTCCGAGATTGTATCGACTATTTAATTTTATATACAAAAATGATCTTTTATAAATATAAGATTCTGTAAAGTATGAATGTGACGCAAATAAAAAGTTTTTAGTGAAAAGAAACCGAATCTGTTATTTGGTTTTCTTAAATGTCACTGTTACGGAACTGATTGAAATCTTGATACCGAATATTATTATCTGACTTACGTTGATTATGTGAGAATATTATTTCGCGAAATGAATTTCTACGATCAACTTGACATGCGAATTCCAGATGAATAGATTAGTTACTTAGTTTTTAAATTAAATGCAAATTTAACAAAAAAATATTACCTGTATAATTATGAAAACCGCAAAAAGTTAAAAATTAGCTATCTATCTCGGGGATATAAAAAATCTGTAATGACTAAAACGATAAAAATGTTTTTTTGATAAAAAAATAACCTTTATCATACAAACACCTTAATAAAATATTAGTTTATTTATAAATAAATTTCGCGTCCAGTTTTTCTAATGTAAACACACACACACACACACACACACACAAAATAGCACCTTGCAACTAACTTTGACCCGTTTGAAAACCATACCTACATATATTTGTATACTAACATTTTAGATAAATGTTAGCTTCATTTACATAATACATAATATGACTTATACATTCCAATTACTGAAATAAAACTACGTTCGCATCAGATCATTCTAAAAGTGAAACGGCGACCAAGGAAGCAGATACCTCTTGCAAGACTTTTGAATAATTCTTGCAATACAAATAACACACATGACTGACTTATCTCTACTTGTATCGTAATAAGTATTTATCTGTGTCAATTGTTACATAAATATATACATGGAATATTCATACCGGTCATTATAATCACTTAACTATTTGCATAATGTGCAAGCTTAACATGTTGCAAGGAAATTCATTAATTTGCTAAATTGCATAATTTGTCAAAACTTTTCCTTGTATTTATAAATAAATCTAAGAGACTTTATTTGTTCCTAGAATAACTGGAAGTTTATATAAAATGATCGTTTTGTCGTGGTTTCCTACAAGATAGTATTTTAATAAAAGTCGTTTTAGCTAAACAGAGACTATGATAATACTAGCTAACAAACTGCAGGGAGTCAAAAACTCCCTGCAATTTGTTGTTTTAAAAACTATCCTATGTCCTTTCTCGAGTTCTAAAATATGTCTGTCCCAAATTCACACAAATAGGTAGTTTAGGCGTGAAGATAGGACAGACAGAGTTACCTACTTTTGCATTTAATTTTATAATATTAGTTTGGATAGTTTGGATTTCGATTTATAACCGTAAATGACCCAATTTCCTTGGTTTGTGGTCGTGCTTCGCTTTGGCAGTTACTCTATCTGATGAATAATTAAGAGGTTTTTTTAAGTCTCTGATACTGCTTCTCGCCCTGGTTAGACAAGACGGAGTTGCAGACAATGACTAACTAAAATCCAACCCATACCAAATCTTGCTTTGACCCGGATCGCGGTACTTCATTGCGTTTGACCTGTGACTTGATTAAGGTTTTAAACAGATTTAACTGAACGCCAGTATTTATACGTTGCCGCCAATTACAAAAATAAGCCAATATTTGTAGACCCGCATCACTCATAGTTTATTCTCCTTAACATACCTAAAGCTGCGTGTTATACCAAGTAACAAAATAAAAGCGACATTAACTAATGTGTTCTAGTGGGAGTGGACACCACAATCCACTTAACTCCTGCCAGTGACAACTTAGCCTGAATTAAGATGGTATCGAGCAGACTGTATCTTAACTACAAACTGCTCAACTTTGTAAAAGGATCAATGTGTAATTAAATGCAATTTATCTAAAGGAACAGGTGTCGTGTCGTTTATTTGGTGTCTGGTTGCGATGTGGATGTTGGAATGACATTGTGTTGTGTCGAAGTGGCGTGGTAGGTCTAGCTGTATAGTAAACTAGCTTTTGAACGCGACTCCTTTCGCGTGGAATAGTGACTTCCTGAAGATTTTTGGTATAAACCCTATGTCATTTCTCGAGTTCCAAGCTATGTCTGTACCAAATTTCACAGAAATCGGTTCAATAGTTTAGGAGTGAAGAAAATACAGACAGTGTTACTTTCGCATTTATAATATTAGTTTGGAAGTTTGGATAGTAAAAGGCTTCGAATTAGATCCCTGGCTCAGCGAAGCGAGCGAAAGTTTGTGAAAATATATGGATGTATGTTTGTTATTCTTTAACGCAAAAACGGCTGAACTGATTTAATTAAAATTTGGTATGTCGATAGGTGACACCACGGGTGACACCCTGGATTAAAACACAGGTTATTCTTTATTAACGTAGCACGCGGAAAAAGCCGCGAGCACAAGCTAGTATTATTATATTATTCCTTTTAATGAATTGTACTCACTAAAAGACCTGAATAATAGAATAGGGCCAATAAAGAAATATATTTGTTTAGCAGAAAATACGTGATATTTTTACCTACGTATGTTTAAAGACACCATTATATTCATGAAAGAGATAGTCATTTCGTCTCAAAATGATTAAAATACTGATTTATTAGATACATTCAGTGAGAACGGGAAACTATGCAAAATTAATGAGGAGCCTATCTCCATAGCCAAGCCGCCAAAGTAGAACCAATCCTCTTAGCTTTCATTGTGGATCATTAATAATAAAATGTCTACGCGTACTTAAATCTCGAAAGTTTATGAGAGAAAATACATAGAATTTGTACACAATGTAAGTATAAACGCCATCATTTATTAACGAGGTCTTAAATGGTTGTGAATCAACTGCTGATTACACCATAAAAGGCTTATTTGGGTAGGTGTATGAATTACTTGGCGAACTCTAAGTTTGCCAATAACCGTCAAGGTACTTCCTCCGTCCAGAAGACTCGAGAGGGAGTATCCGTCAGTCTACAGACAAATCATCAAATGACTTCTATCTTCCAGAGAGTGTCGAGACTCCTACTGACTAAAAACTCCTGTTCCTGTTCCTACGCTAGACCGAGGCCGCGGCACCAACAACTAGCTAGCCCTACAAACCCGGCTAAACATCAGCCATGTAGAGCCCCGTCTGTGGTGGTCTATTGGCTCCTTGAGGCGCGCCGTACGTTCGGGCCCCTCGCCATACCCTAGGCCAGAGAAGTCATTTGATGATATTCTCTCGTCAACAAAAAGAAGGCAATAATTTTCCACAGTACATCACATCACTGCAGGCAAACAGTACTTATATACCATGGCCCACTACCCTCAATAAACTCGTCTAACATACAATTGCGAGAATGAGTAACGTAATTTTTTTTCATTCCCATGTTACCATAAAATTATAACAATCAAGAGAAAACGTTTAAACTGTTCTGAACATGTATACCACTGATAGTACTGTTATGTATGTGTCAGATTCGTCGGATTTCATTAGAACAACTTGGAAGTAAATAATGTCATTAGGAAGTGAATCTCCGTCTGTTTAAAACATAAATCTTAATTTAATAAATCTAAAATATTTGTTATGTAAACTTATACTCAATCCTCTATAATGATCCCTAAATTAATTTAAGAATGGAACCAAACTCATAATATTTTTACCTACAACAACACCGGGAGCTTAATGATTTTTTTACTATTTTCTCTTCTGGCAAAACCTCTAAAATTTTTATCGATAAGTACGTTTCAAAAATGATTGTGGTCATTAAATTTTTACCTTTATATTACATTCTATAAATAAACGTGTCCGTCTGATTGTTCTTTTTTACAAAAAACTATGTCTAAAAGAAGATTCATTTATAAAAATACGTTTAAATAAACAGTACCTGACTTTAAGTAGGTAAGTTAGTGTATGTTTCCATAGCGGTGAGGATATGAGAGCGACAGATCGTGCGTGTCAAATGTCGGCAGATTGTCACGCGATAGTTGCGCGACACATTAGAGTCTGGTGGCCGGCAATTAAATTAAAAAAACGAAAATATTTCTGTTAAGTGACGTGATTTTTACTTTTTATTTTTATTGTAATATTTGAATTCTGCGTTCCTTCGTGCAATCAATGTAGTGACTAGTACTTTCGTTAATTAAAAATTATTCAAAAAGTTTTTCAATATTTGTATATAATCTAATTTTAATGTGTATCTTGACATATTTTCTTTTCTTTCATTTAAGTACTGAAACATTTTATTTAAGTACTGAACACCTTTATACTTGAACAACCTCTACAGAAGACTCTAGGGATTTTGCTTTTGCAATTCCGAACTTCACGCATCTACGTTATTACCGAGAATTTTGAAGGAAAAACCTAATTTAACCACTTGAGAAGACTACGAATCAAAAACATCAAGCTTAATTCCAAGATCAATCAAATTCATCTGACGAAACATAAATAATAATAACAGGATACTTAAACAGAAACATAAAGAAACAACGTGATACCAAAAAGAATAACAAACTGTTCTTAGTTTAACACCACCAAAACCGTTGCGTTTGTTAAAACCAAAATGGCTGACAGATTAGCCTGGCAGATATTTTTTTGCCGCCATTTCTTGGAAGCCAAGATTACGTCCTAATATGGTATTTCATATCACCG